TAGATCATTTTTGTTAATATGGCCATTTTAATTATGCTAATTCTGCCTTTGCAGAACAGTGTCCTCTTCAGTCTCCTTCTTGGGTTCTGTAGGTGTTATGATAGAGGTCTTTCATCTCCTTGGTTTGATTGATTCCTAGGTATTTCATTTTTTAAAAAAGATATTGTGAATAGAATTATTTCCCTAATTTTTTCTTGGTGTGTTCATCGTTGGTCTAAAAAACAGTATTGATTTTCATTTGTTGATTTTTATAGTCTACCAAATAGTTTATTCACTCTAAGAGCCTTCTGTTGGCGGTTTGAGACTTGACGTCTTCCTTTTTGTTGTGGTTTAGATCAAGAATGGGCCCCAAAACTCTCATCCACTCAGAGGCTGGGCTTTTGGCAGGTGATTAAATCATGGGGACACTATAGTTAAATGTGCTTGCTGTTAGGCTGGTGGGCCTAGTTGGATGAGGTGGGTGACAGGGGTGTCCCCTGAAAGGATGTATCTCTCTCCTTGGCTCTTCCCTATGTTCTCTGTTTCCTGGCTGCTGTATCATGGGCAGCTTTTCCTCTGCGTTATTCCACAAGGCCATTTCTGCCTCAGAGCCCACCCAACATGGACCATAACTGTGAGCCAGAATAAACCTGTAAGTTGTGATGTTCCAGTGGAATGTATTTGTCCCAGTGAGGAAAGTGAGGAACTTTCCTATTCCCTTAATTTCTTTCTTTTGCCTGATTACATTGTCCAAAGTTTCAGGTGCTACATTGAATGGTAGTGGTGATGGTGGGTACCCTGGCCTTGTTCCTGATTTTAGAAGGAATGCTTTCAGTTTTTCCCTTTTCAGTGTGAAGTTGGCTGTAGGTTTGTCATATATGGCTTTTATCAGTTTGAGGTAAGATCTTTGTATACTTCTTTGGTCTTGAAGAGATGTGGGATTATGTCAAAGACTTTTTCTGAATCTATTGAAGCAGTCATGATTTTTTTTTAAATACTTGATTCCACTTATATGATGTTTTAAAAACTAATATTACAAATAAATTGGAAAACTTGGGAGATATGGATAAATTCCAAGACACATATGACACAACAAAAATAAACCAGGAAGTTATAAAAACCCCAAAAAGGCCAGTAATGAGCAATGAAATTGATATGGTAATCAAAACTTTACCAATCAAGAAAAGCCCAGGAGCCAATGGGTTCACTGCTGACCTTTATCAGAACTTACTGAAGAACTGCCATCAATACTCTTCAATTTTTTCACACGTATTGGAAAGGGAAAGAATGGTCCCAAACTGATTCCAAGAAGTTAGCATTATACTGATACCAAGACTGATAAGGAACAAAACCAGAAAACTACAGACCAATGTCCTTGAGAAACATAGATGCAGAAATCTTCAGTAAGATATTTGCAAACAGAATTCAACTGGTCTTTGAAAGAACTATATGCGGGGCCAGGGATTTAGCTTAGTGGCATAAGTGCCTGCCTGGCAAGTGCAGGGTCACAAGTTCAATCCTTGGTACCAAAACCAAAAACAAAACTATATGTTGTGATCAAGTTGGCTTCATTCTAAGGATGCAAGAATGGCTCACCCTATGTAAGTTAATAAATGAAATAAATGTAATATACCCCACAAGGAGAATCCAACAGTCTTGATACACTGTAGATCTCTAGTTATTCTAATGTAGAAGAAAAATATTTGGAGTTAAACTGGTTTTTTATTTTCATTATAATTAAAACATATTTTTGTAAAAGTTGAAAGGATGCATCAAAAACCTTGTTTTTCAGCTTTGAGAAGAGTTTCAGTTCTGTTTTGTTTCTATCATAATCCAATTTATTTCATAGTTCTGTCATAGAAAACTTTCTAGTCATCAAAAAGGTTAGTTATATATTATAACTGTATTTAATATAATAATGCAGGATGTAGATGGATAGTAGTTAAAGAAATTGTTAAATTAGAATCTAAGGAATGTTAATTGAATTTATACATTAATACTACTAATAATGTGAAAGTAGTAGTCAAGGACTGCGGATATAGCTCAGTGGCAGAGTGCTTGCCTGGCATGTGGGAGGCTTTGGGTTTACTCCCCAGTATTACGGTGGAGGCTAGGCCGGGGCAGGAAATTGATAGAATTAAGATGTTAACTGAATTTTTGTTTATGTGTTCACTGTTCTTAAACATTCATTTGTGTGTTTGAGCCAGGGTTTCACTTTGCAGTCCAGGCTGGCCTCGTGCTCCTGCTGCAGTCCTCCAGTTTCCACCTCCTCCTCCCGAGCGCAGGGGTTGTAGCTGTGTGCCACCATGGCTGGCTTTTTCTTCATTTTAATACAGTTATCTTGATTTGTTTTTGGAAGGACATCATGTAAGCCGTTGTAAACTTACATTGTTCTTCAAAGAAACTTACCATATGCATCACATGTTTCACTGTTTTCTCTTGGCGGCACTTCAGATTAAAAACTTTAAGAATCTGAGACTCATTTTCCTTATGGTATTGATACAGAAAATTACCTTGAATTGTGATTCCACAGGGTTTTGCATAACCATGATCTATTATTTAGTTAAGTAATACAGACAGAGGGTGCAGTTAGGAAAATGAAAAGTATCTGTTATTTGGTACATGAGTAACTAGGACCAGAAGCGTTATGGGGACTTAGCAAAACAGTAAGAGGTAGTTACACACAGCAGCTCACATGAATACTGTATATGATTGATGCTTTTGGGGGTTTAACTTAGCAGGTTTGGGGGATATCTGGGTTAAGAGAACAACATAACTATTAAAATTAGAATAAGAAAAATCTCCATCATTTTATTTAGTACAATCTGGCCTTAGTGCTACTTAGGAGAATCATTAACATGATGAAATAAACATGTCCTTGCTGTCTATCATCCTGTCACATGCTCCATAGTGTCCTGTATGGCAGGCAGCTCCATCTGTCTTGTGGTTTGTAAGTGGGCGGGCACAGTTGTGGTCAGTGCTGTGCTCCTGTTTGAAACCATCATCTGCTGATGGGTGTGAATTCTCCTTGGACCAGTATTTTTGAGGACAGTGAGCTTCCACGGGGAATCTGGCATATACCAAACAATCTGTATTTTAGCCTAGTATTTAAAAAGGCACTTTAAATTCCAAGCTTCATGTGTTGCATTTCAGAAATGTGCCAGTGTACTAAGTAGAGTTGCATTTATGTAGATTACCTCATCCAGAAACTCCTTGTATATAATTTCTTCTCACTTCTCATCCGAGGACACTTCTCTGTTCGAGGTGAAACTTTCCTGCCCCATCTCCCACATGGGTCACACGTATAATTAAGTGCTTATTTTTATCTCCTAAGTTGTGTTGTTTTGTTTGAGGCAGGGTCTCACTATGCAGTTTTGCTGGTATTGAACTTTGTAGCCCAGGCCATCCTTAAACTCCTCCTGTCTCAGCCGCCACACAGGGCTTCTCCTAAGTCTTTATTTAGTAAGACAATCTTGGGTTATTCTGGGGGTGTATTCAGCACTATTTTCATATTCAGTTAAATAATTCAGATGATATTTGAACCATATAATCATCCTTAATGTGATATTGGTTATTGAAAATGGTTGAATGAATAAACTTTACCTCAAAGTATGACTTCTAGTCTTTTATAATTGAGATGTTCCAGCCTGGAATTAAACTAACTTACAATTTAAGAAAGAAGTAACCAGTTTCTCACGAAGAATATAAATATTCTACTCCATGCACATGTACTAATGAACTAAAATTTTTAAAATTAAGATTTTTAAAAATGTGAGAAAGAGAGAGAGAGAGAGAGTGTGTGTGTGTGTGTGTGTGTGTGTGTGTGCATGTGTTACCTGCTTCCTTGTTGGTGTCCTGCTTGTACCTTGAGGACTGTCGAAGGGACTACTACTATTCTTTTTTTTCTAAGTATATGACATTACTGAAAGTAGTAGTCTTCAAGCAAGAGTTATTTATATTGTGAAAAACAGTGAAATAAGCATTTACTGTGTTTCGAAGATTTCTTTTTTAACAGGTGTAGTTTTCTTGCATTTATATGAATTTATGATTGGTAAGGATTCTCTGAAAAGTAACATTTTATCAAAAGTGATCTTGTAATAAAAACTAATCATTCCCAGGAGGTGTAAGTTTGTTTTTTATTTTCCTAATGTCACACAACAATGTTAAATGGTCTTAATATGTTGTCTTAATGTATTTTTATAAGATTGTTAAAATTATAAAGCTTAAACATAATTAATTGATTTAACTTTTATCCATGCTTTTTAATTTAAAAGTTGGAAAAATTATGTCGACACTTAATAATTGTCTTCTTTGTACCTAACTTACGTAATTCATTGTTTTACTTTTTTATTGACCAGGTAGGCGTAAGCTTCATAGAGTAGAAAATTCAGCATGGCTTTGTAGTCTGATTCTGAGCCTTATAGTTTCCTTGATCTGGTGAGTTATCTTATCTAGAGATGGGCAGGTGCTAGCAGTCTCTCTCTAACCAAGTAAATGCACAAGGCTAATGTATAAATTAGTCTTTGGGTAACCAGTATTTGGGGGAGTTAGTTGGGAGATAATCTTAATTCAACCCATGTAAGAATCCAAATTTCAGATCACAAAGTTGCTTGATGTGCTTTAAGAATAAAAAGAATTTTATGAATATTTGCATTGTTAGACTAAATAGATTACTTTTTCTATCTTTGAGATAATATTTTTTGTATAAATAAAGTATCATGGATAATTAAATAGATGGGTACACATACTTGATGCCAAAGCCAGACTGTTTCCTATATGTTTTCACTTGTTTCCTTTTAAAAAGGAATGTACCTGCCTTCCAAAACCTGACATCTCTAATTTCTAGATCCATTTAGGGTGGTCATTCAAGTGCACTATAATACAAAGGAAACTTGTTGTATCAGTACACGTGGCAACCACTTGGGCTTCATTAAGTTTTATTGACATTTTTAGATACTAATTTACTTTTGAAAGGATATAGGTTGTTTTTCATGCTCAGTTTTCCCTGTCTTGTATTTCAGGGAGGAAATAATGCTGGTCATACAGTTGTTGTAGATTCTGTGGAATATGATTTTCATCTTCTACCCAGTGGAATAATTAATCCAAATGTTACTGCATTCATTGGTAAGTATTTCAGTTGGACTGCTTGGGGATAATAATACTATTTAGTTTTCATGATCAGAATTGATTTCGCATCTCATTAACTATATGGTTCATTGGTCCTGTGTTAATGTTGACCAGGTTACCTTTTGGAGTATACTAACTTTGGCAATTTGTAACTCTTTCAGCTCCTTTAATAGTAATAGTTTCTGAAATAAATATTTTTCATGCATCTTTGGTCTTTGATTTCATAGTTCTATAAAGAAATATTAGATGATCAAATTAGTTTTCCAAATACTATATGTTTAACTGTGGCTCACCATAAGAAAGATTTGGTTGTGAACCCTTATAACAAACAATGCGATGGAATACTTTGTATTCTACTTATAATTTTTTAAGGGTGCTGTAATCGTACAATTAAACTGATTTTATGACCACTAAAAATTGACTCCCCAATTTGAATGACATTGTTCTAGTCTATTGTAACCCATACTACATAGTTCTTTTTAAAATACTGGTTATCATGTTTCATTTTTGTTTCTGTATAATTTTAGTGTTCTATATCCTTTGTATTCAGTTATTATTTATGTTAAGTATTAAAACTTAGCTTCATTTCTGTGATCAGTCCTTGATAAATCAGAATGTCTTATTAATCTAAGTATTTTCCTCTCCGGATAAGAGGTTATTATAGCTGTGTGTATTTAATATCTTATATATACATGCTGACATTATAGTTATGAATGTTTAAGATGGGGGATTATTTTTTTTAGGAAACGGTGTGGTGATTCACCTACCTGGATTGTTTGAAGAAGCAGACAAAAACGTTCAAAAAGGAAAAGGTACGAAAGAATGAGTGTCTGTTCATCTGTTATTTTAGAATGTTTTGGGTATCATGTCAGACAGTTTAACACTTTTGACTTAAAGTTTCAGGTTACTCTAACACAAGTTTTAGTACCACTCATTATATTTTATTCATTATAATCAGTACAAAACAAGAAGAACCTTCTGTAGATCCTGATTTCTTTCTTGTTGTTGTTCTTATGCATTGACCATTTGCAGACTTTATCGTAAGGTATGAAATTACTGAGTGTTTGTGGCACAGCTCTAGGAAATTCACAAGTTGCTCATTGCCAGTGTTTCCCAGATTGAGAGCGCACCCTTGATTGTTGCAACTCAGATAAAAGGTCGTTTCCTTCCAGCTGAGGGAAATGCTTCTTTTAGGTAGTGCATTGGTTCCCCTCACTTGAAAAGAAATAGCCTTTACTTCCCATCTATCCTGATCCACTCAGTTTCCTCATTAGGGGGTGATGGGAATTTGATAATACAAATAATACGCCATTGTGGAAAGCATTTATATAGTTCCCTTTCAGATTAGTTCAAATTTAAAATACTCTGGTTCATTATTCAGGTAGCCGTCCATCTTCAGGTGTTCATAACAGCTGCATCTGATTTATAGAACCCTGTCCGTTATCACCTTTGTTGTCCTCCCTGTTTTTTTAATTTATCTTTTAGTCCCTGCTTGTAATTGGGTGAACATGGAATTTTCATGCTGCTCTCTGCTCTCCTTGAATCATGTTGCCGTTCTTCCTTATCTTTCTGGCCTGTCTAACCCTGCTAAGTCTACCTCCATAGCTTCTTTGTAATATTTTCCTTAGGAGAAAAAATTAACTTTAGAATTCATACTTACATGTCAGAAAGAACTGAAACCCTATCACAGTGGTTTTTGCCTATAATTTCAGTGCTTTGGGAGGCTGAGGCAGAAAGGATCATAAGCTTGAGTCCAGCCTTGGAGAGTTAGTGAGACTATGTCTTGAAATAAAGAAGTCAAAAGGGACTAGCTTAGCGTGAAGGCCCCAGGTTGAATCTCTGGTACTGCAGAGGAGGGGAAAAAACCAACTGAAGGGGATGTGGCCTGTTGTGCTGGGTTTACAAAACGTCTTTCTTTTTAGCACATTACCAAGGAAGGTCTCCTTAATCTATAAAGAATAAACTTTCAAAAAAAGTGAATATTGGATATTACTGAAAGTAATAGCTAATGTTTCTTTGTTTTTTATTAAATTTTTCGTATTTTTGTGGCGCTGGGGATTGACTCCAGGTCCTTGTGCTTGCTAGGCAGCCAGTGTACTACTGAGCTATTCTCATAGTCCCAACTAATATTCTAATATATAAATATTAGTTTTGAAACTGTTTGGAACTTGGTATTTTAATCTTGAAACACATAAAGCCTGGTAAGATACTGTCTTCAATATCTACTTGAATTTGTCCATCTGTTCATCCAGTAGTCATTTCTTTCTTCTCAAACATGTTTGGTGAGGAGCCCTGTGCTGTGAAAACTCATAGCCCTGCTCTCAGTTCTATGGGGAGATACAAATATTTCACTATAATTCAACATAAATGTAGTAATTGACAGCACTGAAGGAATTGGTGAGAAAGTTTCATTATTTTGTTTGGTTACCCTTTTTATAATTGTCTTGGGAAGGATGTCATCCCTAAAATTCACTCTTTTGTCTTAAAATTTTTCCCCCTTCTAGGTTTTTAATTCCTCACCCCATGTCCAGCAAAAATATTTCCCAACCATTTTCTTTCTGCATTCCTAGAAATATTTAATGTGGCAGCGACTGTTCTGAGACTGGAGCATTTTAGAGAAAAATATTTGGAGTGATAAAGTGGGAATGGGTTTGTATATTGAATGAAAGAGGGGGCTGGGGATTTAGCTCAGCGGCATAAGCACCTGCCTTGCAAGTGCACGGGCGTGAGTTCGATCCCCAGTACCAAGAAAAAAAAAAAAAAGAATGAAGGGAAGATGAGAAAAATTGTTAAACACAGTGTTTCCTTTGTAGAAGGTACCAAGATGATTGCTTCAGTAGAAACACTGTTATGACACTTTATGTGTAAAGAAATTAAGATTTTAAAAACTTAGAGTATCTCCTACTTTTTCTCCCTTTTCTCTAGGACTAGAAGGCTGGGAAAAAAGGCTTATTATATCTGACAGAGCTCATATTGGTAAGGAGAACGTACTGCTATCACTTCTGACTATCAAATTTATTAAATGGAAGCATTTAGCAATTTTATATTTTATTAAACCTAAGAAGGATGAATTGTGGTTGAGTTCCCAAATACATAAAGTTTTATGTATTTTCTTTGTGGTTTTTGGCAAAGCTAGGCTGAAATATTTCTGTTTCAGAAGCTAGGGTTAGTGAAACAAGTGAGTAACATAGCAGTATTTCAATAAGACATCTTTAATTACTTAAAAGCAGGCCATATAAAATATAAAGAGCATTTATTTATGTATACTCATTTAAAAGTACATCTGCCCTCCAGCAAATCTTCAGAGTGATTCTTCCTGTGTACAGTGTAATTACTGCTTTTTGTTCGGGCTAACCTCTTGCATTAAAGCAAACTAGATTCTAAAGTTAATTTCATCTACCACCATTAAGTCTGAGGTTTTCTTTGGTTATTATTTCTGGAACAATAGGATTGTTAAGTAGCAATGACATGCTTAAGAGATGATAACCAGGAGCAAGAAGTTGGAACTTTATAAACCATGCAGGAAACTTGTGTGTGACTGATCCAGATTCAAACTGTATTTAAATATGCATGTGTCCTGGTGTGGGTGGCCAGGGAGGCTCTCTTTGCTTTCAAGCCTATGAGCTGTAGGAAAGCAGGCAAAGTAGGTGGTACATGCGTTGAAGAGCACATGGGATACATCACACATTAACACAACATGGGGGTGTAGCTGAGCAGAACAGCATGTGCTTAGTGACCATAAGGCTGTGGATTGCATCCCTTGCACCAAAATTAAGAAAGCCAGCCAGCCAGACTTAGCTACATGATACTAATATAACTACTAAAGATGTACCATTATCTTTAATTTAAAAATTAGACCAAATTCCCAAGGTGACTTTCCTGCAGTATCTGGAAATGTAGAAAATAGAAGCAATATTCAGAGCAACTTTTTAAACAAACATTGTTCTTACAAAATAGTAATTGTGGTGATGTAAGGCTCCATGCCATGAGGAAGCCTTAAGAAAGTAATTACTATGATTACACTAATAGCTTCCTGTAGCCTAGGAAAACACTAGCTTTTCGACAGAGTGCTAAATTAATTCTTGAAAATATGGTTCACTTGTTTTCCATCAGCCACTTATTTGGGGTTTGCCAATTACCTTTTATGACTTGACAATAGAAATTAAAAACATATAAACACCAAGTTTTTATTCAAAAGAACCAGAGTACTCCAAGATTTTAATCTTGTCATATCTGTCCCTAAAGGTTAGAATCTGTATATTAGAAATGTTCATGTTTTAAAACATGTAGTAAAGCGTCAAAATGCATGCATGTGCATCCAAAAAACCCAAGTATTATTCATTTAATTATCATCTTTCTTAAAATATGGAGCCTTTCTAGTGCCCTAAAGTAAAAACCATACTGACTTTTCTCATTTATTATCTGCTGCCTATCATTAAAGGTAACCACTATTTTTATTTCTTTCATTGTGAATTAGTTTTATTTTTGAACTTTTTATAAAATTTAGCATTATGTAGTCTTATTTTTTTTGTCTGTCTGCCACTAAACATTCTGTTGGTAAGATTCATATTTAGTGTTAAGGGGTTTTTCTTTTTTGTATCTTTATAGTGACTTATTATATAAATACACCACAATTTATCCATTTCACCATGATGAAAATTTGAATTTTTTATATTAGGCTGTTGCAAATGTTACTCTGAACATTCTTGTAGATGTCTGTTGGTGGGTGTACCATGTACTAGTATGATTTTACAGTTGTTGTTACCCTATTTTCTGTGGTACTGAAACAAATATTGATTGGATAATTTAAAATCATACAATATTTGTATACATTTAGCATGTGTAATATAACTAACTATTGTATAAAATGTCTCACTGTTGGCCTGAGAGAGATCTGTTGGTCATATCAAGCTGTTGGGATTTTCCTCGTCAAGCACGGGAGAAGACTACCTGTACAGTTTCAGTAGTACCTAAAAAGGAGCCAACTAGGGAAGGGAATTGGAATGGATTCAAGATTGCAGTTAGTCAGTGGGCGTACCGAATTGTGCTCTAAGATGAATAAGCTTTCTGGTCTGTAAATTATGTTCACATAAAGATGTTTAAAAATAAAATATTACCAAGAACGTTGGTTAGAATTCGAGGCCTGCCTCATTGATAATCTATCGAGTCAGTGAATATTTGAGATTACTTCTTGGTGTAGACTTAAGTACTAAGATAAACTGACATTGTCCTAATTCTCAACGTTTTGAAAGAGAGAATGAATTGAGCTGGCAAGTGTGTGCAGGAGAGGCGATACCTTTTCAGGGACAGCAAAGAATGCCAGTGTGACCAGAGGGTGGAGCGTGGTATCAGATCAAAGTGAGGTCTCCAAAAATGCCATACCAAGAAGAGTTTTGTCTATTCTTTGGTAGAAAGCCATTGTGATTTTAAAGGCAAAGGAGTGATGGTATTATGTGTATGTCTTGGAAAGATGGTTTTGGGTACGCTAAAGAACTTGGATTAGAAATGTCCCCGAGTGAAAAGAGATACACAGCAAGGTATAGTTCTGAAGAGAGAGGGTAGATATGTGGGGCTAGTGAGGAAGAAGGAAGTGTCAAATGATTGCCTGATTTCTGGAGTTCAGAACTTGAAGCTAGAAAAATTGGTATAATAAGCTTTGTATGATTTTAGGTTATGGTGTCACAGAATTAGCTTCTTAATGACTCAGTTTTACAGTCATAGATTAATAAATCAGAGTGAAAGATGAGGCATGTTCTCATAGAAACGTGCCAATTGGCCTTAGATCCTTGATGCTACTGTTATAGCACTTTAAAAAATGTATCTGTAATCTGTCATCATAGAATGAGGCTGGAGGGACTCATAACTTTAGTAGTTTGAAATAAAAAACATTTCGTTCTTGTATATTTTAACAATTGTGGTTTTGTTTTATTTCCCATCAGTATTTGATTTTCATCAAGCAGCTGATGGTATCCAAGAACAACAGAGACAAGAACAGGCAGGGAAAAAGTAAGATTTTTTTTTTCTGGTACTATAAAAGCATATTTACACCTTTATACTTAAATTCTAGATCAGAAGTAATAGAACATCTTGTGTAGTTGTTGAGAAAACCAATAAGATTGTGAAAACAAACTTAGAGGAAATAATATAAATAGACATAGTTATATATAACTTCATCCTTTGTGACGATTTGGCCATAAGACCTGTGTCTTTTTGGTGTAACTGTTTGATCTTTTTTTTTTAAGCTTGGGTACCACAAAAAAGGGCATTGGCCCAGTTTATTCTTCCAAAGCTGCTCGGAGTGGACTTCGGATGTGTGATCTTGTTTCTGACTTTGATGGCTTCTCTGAAAGGTAGCTAACTTATGTTCCAAAATTGAAAGAACAGGTGGATTTTTACAATTTTTAAACTCTAAAGCACAAAATGGTAAATCTCGTATTCTAGTTAAATAGTGATGGTTGGCCTATTATTTTTATCATCTGAAATACTAAAGTTACTTTTATTTCATTCTAATTCAACCTTATTTTCAGATTCATATTATTAAAAATAATATGAATACCAGTAGTACTCTAAAGACAAAATCAGAATTATAGTTGGGAATTGGAGTATTCTGTTTGCCCAACAAATAGAATAGCACTAGTGGGCGTGGCAGTACTTTGGCAAAGTCACTATGTTCTAGGGTCTTTTATTTTTCTTTGGTACTGGGGACTGACCCCAGGGACACTATCACTGAGCTATATCTGTATCCTTTTTTATTTCTTATCTTAATACAAAGCCTCAAGTTGGCCAGGCTGGCCTCAAACTTGTGCTCCTACTGCTTCAGCTTCCCTAATAGCTGGGATTATAGGTGTACAGCACCATGTTTGGCTGTAATTGTCAAAAGCCATACAGTGAGTCAGCGATGAAGAACTGGTTGTGTTTATGAGGTGGCATTAGGACTATGAAGACTGGCTCTGCCTCTTTTTTTTAACAACAGCTAAGTTGTTTGGAATGGCAAGATAGCTCCACTGAAGTATTCTGAGAGACATATTGCTAATGTCTACCATTTTCTCTTACAAGTGTCACGAAGATCATTTTCTTTTGTGTCTTACATTATGTAATACAATTAGATTTAAGTCTTCTGCTGTGTTTACAGATTTCCATTGTTCTAGCCTTTCTTCCACCTGACAACAATTACCTTAATTATATTGTCAGTCTCAAACCTGAAAAAATATTTAAGTGTTTCATACTCATATCGATGACCTCATTTATTAATGTTCTTTCTCAAAAAGTAACTTCAGTTTTGGAATTTCTCATTAGGGCCCCTTATAGTCTGCAGAAATTATCTGAAATGAATAATATTTAAGTATTTTTAAAATGAGCTAATGTCTTAATTTGTCTATATTTCTCAGGTTCAAAGTTCTAGCTAACCAGTACAAATCTATATACCCTACTTTGGAAATAGACATTGAAGGTGAATTACAAAAACTCAAGGTAATGTTTTCTGATCTCTTTAATGTTGTTTTTAACACTTGTTTGCCAAGTTGGTATCTAACACTTTCATTGATTCCAGTTTTGTGTAAGAACTGGTAAAGGAAATGCACCAGTTTGTCGTGGCCACAGCATGTGTGAATGACTTTGTATAGTCAATATTTCAGACAAAATATTGAGTGGGGACCAAAAACAGTCAGTGAAGGTAAAATTAAAGTAGGGAACAGATTGTGGGTTTTATATGCAGTGCTAAGGAATTCAGCTTTTATCCTGGAGATAATGAAAGGCTATTGGATAATTCTGAGCAACAATAGCATTCGCAATACTCAAGAACCGCTGATAGCCATTGGGGTATACAGATAAGCAAAGGATGAGTGTGGTGTGATAGCTTATACAGTTAGCCAGCCCATTAGGATTGATAGCCGTCCAGTGAATGTTTTTTACGCTGCATACTACTGAGATGAGTAAGGCAAGTGGCCAAAGATGAGGCCTGCAGTGTGAAATGGAGACGTCAGTGGTGCCTCTGCTAGAAGGTTTGTAGGGTTCTCCCCTCTACCCTTTCTCCGCCACAGTCATTGGTGAATTTCAAGAAAACAAGTATTAACATTTCCAGAACTAAATAGGAATCTACAAACTATGTGGCAGTCTAGAATAGTTGTAATGCATAGACCTGTTCTGGATGTTCTGTGTTTGTATGTCAGTGCATTGATGGTAGCTTAGAATAGACTACCATTTTCTGTGAGTATATCTCAAATTAGCATTCCTAGGTTTTGTTGTTGGGACAGAGTTTTTATTGCAGTTACAGTGTAGGCCTTGGGGCAGTGGTGGTGAACCTATGGCATGCGTGCTGCAGCAGGCTGCTTGTTACTAAGGACAGCTCTGAAAGAGCCCCCATCACTGTTTTAGGGCATGTTCTTATTTATAGTGAATTTTAACTTGAGTTCTAAAGTTAAGTAATATTTTTAATACTTTAAATATATTTTGAAAAAATTTTATAATGCTCACATATAAAATAGTATTTAGTATTATCAACTAGTAATACTGTAGAAGTATTTTTACAGCAATGCAATGCAAAGGAAAAAGAATAATAGCAATCAATCACTGATATTTGCATACCTGACAGTGTAACTTGTCCTCACTAAATTTTGATCATCACTGTGATGTAAATTTCAAAATTCTTGGTTATATATATTACATTCCACAAATTTTAAAAGCAGCAAGCTGGGCGTGGTGGTGCACTCATGTAATCCCAGCACTAGGCAGGCTGAGACAGGAGGACCATTGCACATTCAAGACCAGCCTGGGCTACAAAGTGAGCCTGAGGCCAGTCTGACCTGCATAGCAAGACCCTGTCTCAAAAAGACAAAAAAAAAAAAAAAAAAAAAACCCAAAGCGGCAGGTAACTCGTATTCTGAAACCTTGTGTATGAAATAGTAATACTTTGCTATTTGGGAGGTTGTTATTACTGTTTGCCATCAGGTTGACATAGAACTTTAGAATTTCTTAACGTGCACATACACACCTCAGGCTGCAAGTGGAGCCCTGCGCCATGAGCATGCTAGGTACTTGCTGTATCACTGAGCTATAACCCCGCACTTAGATCTTTTCTGGCTCTGGAGAATCAGCATGAGAGACCAAAGCTAATGTAAATGTTGCAGTAGTAGGATAAATACAGTCAGCAACCCCCTCTTACTTTGTTTGGTGGGAATTGAACTTACCACCTTAGGCGTTGCCAGGCAGGCACTGTGCTGCTGAACTATATCCCCAGCCCCACCCTTCTTTCTTTGAATTGCGTTTGTCAGTTTTTACCATCATGAAGTCAGGTAATCTCTGCTTGTACTGGTTATATTATCAGTGTGTTAGTACGTGTGGAAATTAGTTTTTGTCTTTGTGCACAGGGTTATATGGAAAGGATTAAGCCAATGGTGAAAGATGGAGTTTATTTCCTATATGAGGCTCTACATGGACCACCAAAGAAAATCTTGGTAGAAGGTGCAAATGCAGCATTATTAGATATTGATTTTGGTAAGTGAGGTATGGTTCACAGGGAGAGTTTGACTGGGTCCAAAGTATAAAATACTTAATATATGCATAATTAATGTTAGCATTAAAGAGGTTTTTTTTTAAGCTTACATATTCAGGAATGATCAAGATTTGTCATGCCAGGTTTTTTTTTAAAGGACTATACTAGAAACCAGTATGTTAAGTTTTGTACTTCTTTAAAAAAAAGCAAATCATTTGGAGTTCAGGGGGCTTAGTGGTGTCCTGTACATTATGGTTTTTGTTATTTCGTTACTGATTTAATCATTCACCTCATTTGCCTGAAGCTGTGAGATGATAAGATGCATTCTATAGGTGAGTCACCATCTTTAACTCAACATGTAAAAATGTGTATGGTATTGTCGAACAGACATACTCTTAAGAGCTATGAAAACCTGTTTACACAGGGGTATGAGACTTTCTGGGTTGATTCAGGGTATTTCCTCCATCTTCAAAAGGTTAAAGCTTAACTTCTTGGTTGCTTCTAAAAAGAGTCTGTTATGCTTAATGTCTGCTCACTGACATTTCAGTTTGTTCCTACTAATTAGAGTGTGTTTTATATAGTATTACATGCATGATTTTTTTTTGTTTTGTTTGTCTTTTTGAGACAGAGTTTCACTAAGCAGTTGGGCTGGCCTTGGGCTCACTTTGTAGCCCAGGCTGGTCTTGAACTTGGAACAATCCTGCCTCAGCCTACTGAGTGCTGGGATCTACGAGTATGCCACCACGTCCTGCTATGCATGATACTCTGATACAGTAATATGCCTACCCAGTTTGGAAAGAAACCGGAGTGGATAGTTAAGTATAAAAGGGAGAAGAAAACACCACTCCTAATAACTTGTATTGTGGAGGTTATTCTTGGCATAGAAATCAAAAGCTAGGGCCAGGAATTTAGCTCAGTCAGTGGCATAAGCACCTGCTTGGCAAGCGCAAGGTCATAAGTTTGATCCCCAGCACCAAAAGGGGGTGGGGATCAAAAGCTAGGGAAATACTGAACCCCACAAAGTACATTCTTAGTGTGTTGCTGTCTGTCTGTGCTGCACCTTAAATTCTCATATCATGTGGAGTCATTTGTTTTAAACTAACAAGAAACTCAGAATATGTAGATAGGTATCCTTTTACACATTTTAATCTCATTACAGACAAAGAATGGAGAATAAAACATTGAGACTTTGAAAGAGGGCAGTGACAGTTGTGGTGAAGTTTGTCAGATAATTAGAAAATAGTCAAATGCAGAATTTTAATAGTAATTCTTTTTTAACGTGCATAAGGACCTGAGCATACTTTAATAATTTTTTTCTATTTTAGGGACCTACCCGTTCGTAACCTCCTCTAACTGTACTGTTGGAGGTGTCTGCACAGGCTTGGGTATGCCCCCCCAGAATGTTGGAGAAGTGTATGGAGTTGTGAAAGCGTATACCACTAGAGTTGGTATTGGTGCCTTTCCAACAGAGCAAGACAATGTAAGCCTATTTCTCAATAAATCCAGTTCAGAAATTGTAGAAAGAAGAATGTTTTTTCTCCCTTACTCAATTCTTCTCTGCTGTGCCTTTTCCTGTGCTTGCCTTTCATCTTCAGAGAAGACCTCAAACTGCAGTTGTTCTTGGAACAATTGCTGGATTTGTCCATATTAACAAATACTGATTAAAGACTCATTTTTAATGGATAGCACTTAGTTGTTTTTGTGTCAGCTTCCATGTTAGGAAGTTGCCTATGTATAAGATTGTAAAAAGTATTGGGATAAAAAAATGAAGCCAAAACTGCCTTTCCAAGAAAATGCCTTTCTCAGATACAATTGTCATCTCTGGAATTCTGTTTTCAGCTTGTTTTCTGAAAGATGTTTACCACAAAGAGATTTTGCCTTACATGATTTCTTGTATAATTCTAGTAAATTTACATCATTGCTGTTCTAATTCATAAAATCTGTTTTTTTTTTTTTTTTTGTTCTCCAGGAAATTGGAGAATTACTGCAAACACGGGGTAGAGAATATGGTGTAACTACTGGAAGGAAGAGGAGATGTGGCTGGCTGGACCTCGTCTCAGTCAGATACGCTCATATGATCAATGGATTCACTGCGTGAGTGATCTGTGGAGACATTGCTTTCGGGAGACCATAGGACAGTGCATGACCGCAGGGTTCATTTTGTGAAATGCAAATTTGGAATAGAAAATTTTCATTGTAATAAAAAAATATAGTTCTTCAGTCTCCAAATTGAAATTACAGTTCTAGGCAGAAGTGGAACATAGGTAGGGGGATGGTATATAAAAGGGACCGACATATCCAAAGTTGGTGGAAATGCATTATGATAGTCTTTTTACAGCAGAAAGAGGCAAGGTGAGCAGGTAGGAGGATGGGTGGGTGGGTAGGTAAGTGACTAGAATAAGTAAATTAGTGCGTGGAGAAGAGAGGCCATACAGCAGAGTGATGCAGTACCTAGCGTTAAGGCCTGACATCCTAGATTCAAGACTCAGATCCATTCGTGCTTGTATTACTGGTGGCACCTCACTTTTATCATCTGTAAAATCATTAATTAGTATAGCATATGTCATGGTACTGTTTGAAGATTAGGTGAAACGTGTAGTGAGAACATATAGCACACTCTGGTTCACTGAAAATGCTCGTTAAAATTGACTAGTGTATACACATAAGTGTGTCTAGGCTGGACGTGGTGTTGCATGCCTATAATCCTAGTACTTGGGAAGCTGAGGCAGGAGGATCACTGAGTTTGAGGCCAGCCTAGGCTACAGAGCAAGCTCAAGGGCAGCCTGAATTGCATAGTGAAACCCTGTCCCAAAAAGACAAGAGCAAAAAAAAGTCTGTATCCATGTTAATTAGCACGTGCTCCTAGGAAATAACAGAATAAAGAATTAAAAAAAATTGTGAACAAGAAGCCCAAACCCTGTGTTCTATCTAATTTCCACAGATTTTCCCTTAGAAACCTGTTATCCAGTCAGTTTATCAGGAAATTTTGATGTATGCCGAAACGTCCCTTGCTGTGGTTTCCTCACTCTTTGGCAGTTTCTGACCAGAAGGGTGGAGGTGAATGGTAACGAGCGAGCGTGAGAACTCGAGGGCTGCTGGCATGTGTGTAAATGTGCTTACGTCTTGTGCTCGTGCACAGGGAGCAGCACATTCTGCTGAGTCAGAGTGTATGGGTCCGCCAGGCCCAGGGAAGGTCTGCTGTAATCACTAGTAAATAACTCTGGCATACTAGGAAGAATACATGTCAACAGATTGTTCCCTATGGTTTTACGTGTGGCACGCTTTAAAATATAATCCTAACTAGTTTTCAGAATTGCTTTGGAACTTTGAGCTTTGCATGAATTTTCCTTTACTCCTGCATCTTAGATATTACGGTCTTTTAAGAGTTTGTTTATAACTTTGCCTTTTCTTCCAAAATTAGGTTGGCACTCACCAAGTTGGATATTTTGGACATGTTTACAGAAATCAAAGTTGGTGTTGCCTACACGTTAGGTGACGAAGTCATACCTCATTTCCCAGGTACTCCTTTTAAGGCTGTGTCTAAGGAGTGTTATAAGATGTATGCAGTAGAGCAGCTTCTGTGTGATGTGCAATATACAGCGATAAGCTGGGTAGGCCCTTTATGAAGTAGTGCAGGTATGTTCACTTGCTAGCATTTGGCTCATGGCTGCTTTTCATTTGGTTGTGGGTTAGAAGCATGCGTTCAAGACCCTGGAAGAGAAGAAACACGGCATCTTGAGCATGCTGCTCCTGAGTTTCATCTTCCCTATTTTGAAAGTAACTTCCACACACAAGCAAGGCATGGTGGTTGGGAGATTGAGGCAGGAGGACCATACCTTCCATAGAAGGGTTCCTCACTCAGGAGCAGTGGGGCAACAGAAAAGAATGTTTATTTATAGGATATTAGTCAGCTGGGAAGTCAGTTATTCCAGTGTATGTTATGTCTTAGTTGTTTTATCTGCTGTCAAAGCTACTCGAGTTATAAACTCAGACACCCAAAACACTAGTCTAATCAAATTTAATGATAAGTGAGAAGATCTACTGTAGGGAACAGTACTGCAGATTCCTTTAGCGGAAACACTGAAGACAGGCCAAACAGATAAAACTTGTCTATTTAAAAGCTGGTTTGGGTGAGGTTTCTCCAAAATAGTCTGAGGTGGAAATTTGCATTTAAGAAGTGTATTGGAGGGTGTTTTCAGCATTATTGCTTATGAAGGAATAGTTAAAATATAGAGAGCTACGTGGCCCTTCAAGTTCTCCTAGATTGAGGCGGTTGCCCAGAAGTGTGTACCTCCCAGTAAGCAGGCAGTAAGTGTGGTCGCGTGGGTGAAGCTGCTCCCATTGTCCAAGCTGGGTTCCTGGGTAAGGGACTGAGTTGAGTCATTGGCTTGCAGTACGCCCTCCTACCACAAGGGCTGTGCCTGTCTTGAAGGCAGTGTTCTGGGTATACACTCTGTTCTTGTTCTGGTTGTTGAATCCTATGTAGAAGTTCCTGCATATTTCTGTTGAGTGTCTTAAGGAAATTTTCAAGAGAAAGGTTAGTGGTATATACTAGCCCCTGCTGGGCTCTCACAGTGGGAAAGTAGACGCAAAAGTTCCGTTCAACTGTAAGCTGAGGCTGTGCCCTCAGGAACAGCTGAGAGGAGTAACACTTTGGCTTCCAGCACACCCGTGCAAGCCTGTGGCCTCATCCCCTCCTCACTGTGTATGATTGTACACTCCTGAGTACTGGGTGGGAGTGCCACACCAGCAGATGCTTCGATTCCTACCCTTCCCCTTGCCCCTGAAACATCAGGACCTGTACTACTGTCTCAGCAGAGGATGGGTGCTTCTAGCCCTTCATCAGTACCATGCTGATACCAGAGCTAATATCAGCATTGTCAGAGGAAATCCCTGTCAGCTGATGGGGCCACCACTCTAATTAGAGAAGAAAACACACTGGGTGTGTTCTCACACTCACTAATCAGAGTCAAAGAAGCTACAGGGAGATTGCCATATTCACAAATCAACATGAGAACATGAGACATAGGAAAAAATGACAATTGCAAAGATTATAAACCTTTAGAACAGATCCTAGAGATTTTAAGTGGATGAAATGCCTCATAAGGAATTCAGAAAATTATTTTTAGAAAGCTTAATGAAATCCAAGAAATTACAGGTAGACCATAAACTAGGAAAACTCAGTTTTAAGACATGAATGAGAAATTCTGAAGAGATTTTGAAAAACCAATTGGAAATCTTGGAAATAAGCTCAGTAAACCAGATAAAAAGTTTAGTTCAAGCCACCACAATAGGCTAGATTAGGTAAGTGGAAGACAGAATATCAGAGTTTTAAGATGGATTTTTTCAAAATAGGTGCAGACAAAAGTAAGGGGAAAAAATAATGGAGAGAGCCTACAAGATGTTTGGGGCACCACTGAAAGATCAGTCACCTGCATCACTATGTCCAAAGAGGAAAAAATAGTTCAGGGGCATAGAAAATAATAGAAAAATCTCCCTCCTTTTGGGAGGGAGAACTCAAATAGACCTGATCAGAAAAAATGGTGACCAAGACATAGTCAGAACGTTGAAAGTACAGGACAAAGGATTTTAAACTCTGCAGGAGAAAAGCATGAAGTCATGTTTAAAGCAGTCCTGGAGACTAATCACAGATACCTCCACAGGAAGCCAAGAGGTCATGGTGTGATGTATTTCTAATCTTAAAATAACTGCCAACCAAGATTATTGTATCTAGCCAGGCTATCTTCCAGAATTGATGGAACAATAAAGACCTTTCAAGACAAGCAACTACTGAGGGAATTCATGACCACAAAACCAGCCTTGAGAAAGATACTTAATGGATATGTTGGTGCACGCCTGTAATCCCTATTGAAGAGGTTGAAGCAGGAAGATCGCAAGTTCAAGGCCAGCCTAAGCAATTTAGCAAGATCCTGTCTCAAAATTTAAAAAGATAGGGCCAAGGATATAGCACTTGCCTAGCATTTGTAAGGCCCTGAGTGATTCCATATCCAGCACAATTAAGAAAGAAAAATTAAAAAAAGGAAAAGAGCTTAAAGAAACCCTACACCTAGAACTACCATGATAGCAAGTGAAAATATAAATCTCACTAGAAAGGTAAATACACAAATGAGTAACAGGAGCAAAAACACCTAGAAGAAAATCAAATGACAGGCACAAATTGATATTTTTCATTAATAACTTTGAATGTAAATGGACTTAATTTTCCATTTAAAAGATAAAAGTTTGGCTGAGTGAGTTAAAAATGAGAAAAGTCTTGTATTTTGGAGAAGGCTTTTGGAGACATTTCGACAGATGTTTCTGATGAGCATGTGGGACATCAGGAGGTGGGCTGAGGATGTGGCAGCTGGTGGCACATGGGGCACCATGAAAGGCACCCTGTGGACCACTGTTGCCGTTCCTGTGTGTGCGCCACATACTTTTTGTACAGATACTGTAATGTTTGAAATTCTCAGCAGTCTAAACTGATAACTGGTGAGCGCTGTGCATCATGACTTGGTGATCCTTAGAACAGTACAGGAAACAGCAGATTTTATGTTAGTAAGGTTAAAGAGCAGTGCAGGTTTGGAGGAGACTTTCAAAGCCCCCATCCAGGTGATGTCTGTGTTTTTCTTTTTTTCTGGCCTCTGGCTTGTATAGTTTGAACAGTTGTCACTTTGTAATTTAGTTACAAGGAGACAAATAGTGGGGTCACTTGGAAGCTCTTAACTGATCTCCGGGGGAACTGTGCGGGTAGAGGGTCCTTGAGTTGTCCTGAATGAAGGACCAGTGATTGGGGCCCCTGTGTTCCCACATGGGCAAGCCAGTGGGTGTGGCATCTGCCTTCCTTGGGGGAGAGCCTGGGATTGAGCCTGAGCGCGTGCCTTGCAGAGGGGTACCTGGCAGTGCCCGTAGCATCCACCATGTCAGTCTTCCCACTTGCAGGGCATGCTGTGTTTTCAGGAGGGGGTGCCGAGAAAATGACCAGGCAGAGTAGTAAAAATTTCAGTGACAGATTTCTCAGCAGTCATCGGGTACACAGGGCTTCTGTGAGGTTGCTGTCATTGTACAGATCTGTAATTCACAGCATAAAAACTCAAAATGCTTTGAGAATGGAAAGCTCCATGTTTGGCACCAGCCTCAGTTGAACTGCTGTGAGAGCTGCGTAATCTTTCCCCACTTACTGTGAATAAGCATGTTGTTTCAGAAATGTTTGGTTATTGCCAGGTGTTTGGGCAGGAGGATCACCTTGAGTTCAAGGTCAGCCTGGACTTCATAGCAAGATCCTGTCTCAAAAAATAAATACAAAAACTAGACATGTTTGATGATAGAATACTTTCCCAGATATGTAGTGTTTTACCTTTCTGAAGCATCAGAAATTCAAAATCCTGATACGTACCTGGTTCCAAGTACTTTGCTTTGTGTTTGTGAACCTGTGCTGTTTGACATTGGCAGACTGTACCATGAACAAATATACTCTTTAACTTTTAGCAAACCAAGAAGTCTTAAATAAAGTTGAAGTTCAGTATAAGACTCTCCCAGGATGGAACACAGACATATCAAATGCACGGACCTTTAAAGAGCTGCCCATTAATGCACAAAATTATGTTCGATTCATTGAAGATGAGCTTCAAATTCCAGGTAAATGTAAAACTTTATGAACAACTACCTTGTTTTTCTATTTCTAACTTACTGGTCTGCTCACGAAGTAGAATTTTTAAAAAATGATTGTTGCTTTGCAGAGTGCTCATGATCTGTGTAAACTGTCTGATAAGATACAAGATACTTTACCTTAAATAAAATATTTTTTGTATTTTTATTTGGAAGACAGTAAGTTACCTCTTCTCTTTTTGAGCCTGTCTTTAATTCTTTTACTAATCTTTTTGTTTTTACCTTGTGACATTCATTCTCACTCCTTCTCCCTTAATAGCAGATTATTTTTATATTTTTATCAAAAATGGTTCATGGTGGCTTTATTTTCTTTGGTTTAAACTACCTTTGAGGGTTTCTTGACTACACATTAGGAAATAAATACAGAGAGGTGAAAAAAATCTCATTAGAAAATACATAAGGCAAGTATAAAGGATGAACAAGATTTATTTTAAAAATCATTTTTATTTGAATTAATAGAAATTAGAGCTACTAGAATAAGTGGTAGGAGGTGCTTTCTATGTAGGTTCATTCTGACTTTCGTATTGTTCATTTGTGTGTGTGTAGTTCACTTTAGATATGACTTACTTTCCAAATCACTAGGAGGTCCTGCCAGGCTGGTGTCAGTTTTAGTAAACATGTTTGCTTACTGCTGTTAACAGCTTCTGACATACAAATAGCCCTGAGTCTGACCGTGACCTCTGTGAAATCCGTAAGGGGTTCTCCTAACAGTACTTGTGGAAGCCAGTAATTCTGCAAACAGTCTATAATCTAAAGCCATGTTGTGCAAATGATTAGAAATCCCTCTAGCTTTGTGCATTTGCTAATTCCTAAGTACAAAATGGCACAAAAAGGCATACAGGCAAAGGTTAGAGGGTGGTGCGGAGCAAAAGCGGGAGAGACTGGGTTAACCTGGGGCTGCTCACTGTCGGTGAACCGATGCTGTTCTCTTTTCCAGTGAAATGGATCGGTGTGGGTAAATCCAGAGAATCCATGATTCAGCTCTTTTAAGGATTACCAGCAAAACAAGAAACACTCTATGTGGGGGAAGGAAAAGACTTTGTTAAATATTTCTTTGTGACCTGCAAATTCAGAAATAAAACCAGTAAATCGAGTCGGAGTCCTGCAGGCCTCCCGGGTTTGCGCTGGGCGGCTGCTGCGGGGCAGCCTGGGCTGCGCCCTGCTCGGCTTGGCTCCGGGGCCTTGTTGCCGGATCATTTCTTGCTCCTGCTGCTCATGGTGCCATGTTTCTTTCCGTGTTTAGTACAAGCATAATCTCTGTTGTTTGAAATCTGAAGTAGTTTTTTTTTTTTATGCAGTTTTCCTTCATTATTGTCAGTATGTGTTTTAGTTTTTACCCCTGTTATTAGATAAGAAAACAATGCAGTTTTGCACAAATATTTTTACATTCTGATCAATTCTCATTGTAATCTTTGCTGTTAGAAAAAGAGTGATGAAAAGATAGGGGTTCTGAAAACTTTTGTAATGCTATAAATTCTGTTTAAATTTTTGGGAATTGTTTATTTTCTGCCAAGACCATTACAAAATGGAGCTTTGGGGCAGCGGATGGGGCAGGGTATACACTTAATGGGTCCTTTAATTTCATAGAGCTTATTCTGTATAAATTATTTAATACATTAAACATGTAACTAAATGTTCAAAAAGAAAAACGGTCTCCTTAATAATCTTAATGTTTAAAAAATTATTAAAAGATCTGTTGTGATATTTGGTGGATATTTTTCTTTAGTTTGAGACATGAACTGCAATGTGTATCTTCCCTTTTTAAAATTTGTTTTGTACCATTATTTCTAAGTCTAATGCATTGTTCAACACTGTGCCTGCCAATATACCTACAAAATCAACTATCTAGATGTCAGAGTCCAGATGAACCCAAATTGTTGGCCATAATTTTGATCATGCCTTCTTTTCTCCTTTCTTGAAAAAAAAAAAGTGTTATTTTGACAATTAGGCTTAACATATTGTGTTGTAGATTGTTGTTTGTTGAACTATTACATGTTTAGGTGCCATTTAAATTTATTTTGTTATACCCTCAATAGCTGATTAAAAAGAACCAAATATTTCTAGTATGCTTTGTGTGTTGTGTTTTGTTTTAGTAATAATACAAGTATATAGGAGGAACATTATCCCTGCAATGCGTGGGGGTAGTGTAGAGAGAGTTAAAAACAGATTCTTTGGAAGGATCCAGGTATCTTATCTTCACTGTCTGAATTTTATAAAATTCTAAAGTAGGAGCATTCTCATTGGACTCAATAAATAGAATACAGTTAATTCCACTGTAAAGCTATAATAATATATGTAAAAATAATGTATCTTTCATTCTTATAGACTGAATGAGATTTTAAAGTCTACATTCTTATCCTAACTATGAGAACTCTTGCTGAAGCTCTTTTAAAAAGTTGACTAGTTGATTGGTTGACATAGTGAAAACTATTAAAATGACAGGTTTGTATGGAATAAGTACAAACATGTATGTGCCAGGTTCTGCTAGGGGTTCCTGGTGTGCTGGTGATAAGCAAGAACTTCATCGCAGTGGGAACAACACGCGTTTGAGTGATGTTGTGTGCTGCAGTTGAAAAGTACAGGGTACAGTGGGTGACAAGCTAATTGAAATGTGGAGAAGATAGGAGGAGGCTGTGGTGGATGTTTAAACAGACCAAGTAGGAGAGGAGTCAGAAGCACCTAATGCAGTGTGCAAAAGCCTAGCTGCTGGGGGGAGTTTGGGGAGTTAGCAACTCAGCAAAGTGAGTAAGGAGCCGATGTGGTTGACAGCAAATTCAAGAAGTCCTGAGTCAAACAAAACGTTAAAGAAAACACTGTAGTTCAAAATGCAATACATACAGTGTGAGGGCACAGAAAAATTGTTGAAATTTTAAATCTCAGAAGGGAACTAGCTAACCATATAAAGTATTTCAGTATGGAGAGCCTATTTAGTATAATACTTGGTATTAATTGGTTAATGCTGTTCTATGAGAATGAGACTTTTTAAGACATTTTTTCAAAGATAACATCAGATGTTAACAAATCACAAAGCTATGCGATGTGGACAGGAACAAATGCTCAAAAAATTTTAACCTGAGAACTTAAATATTTCAGTATTTTTCTTTAATATGCAGAGTAGAAGAAAATAGTAGAAAATTGACTTTTAAAAATTTGTGTATCACACAGTCCACAGAAGAAATGTGAATGCCCCAAAACGTGGAAAGATCCCCCGCTTTTTCCCATAGATAGGATGAAAAAAGTAAATATTCCCAGAAGAGGTAACTATTAAGAGGTAGTATAGTGTAAAATATTCGGGTTTATAATTTCCTATATGTTTTAAGTCATGGATAAATGCAAAAAAAACCCAAAAATTTGTTGGGCATATTATATAAAATGTTTTTCACAGTGATTATAAGGGGAGGGACTGAGCTACATACAATAGTTGTATATTACTAAGTTGATATTAAAACTATTGTCATAAATTTGGGGCATTAATTTGTGATTCCCATTGTAACCACTAAGAAAATATCTAAAAAATTTATACTAAAGAAAATAAGGCACAGCACCACCAAAATAGCACCTCCACACAAAAGAAGGCAGGAAAGGGGAGGAAAGGTGTAAGACACAATGGTCAAATGGCAGAAATGCCCTAACGGTTCTTTTAAGTATGAATAGAACTCATCTACCATAAAGTGAAGATTGCAGAAGGGGTTAAAAAGCCCATGATCAAATTATCTACCATCTATAAATACATTTCATGTCCAAAGATCCAAATAGATTGGATGAAACATCTGAGTCCCCTCTAGGAAAGACCCTAGTACAATGGGAAAAGATCTTCCTCCTCCCTTCTCCAAGTGGTCCTGGGGCCCTGGTGAAGGTCATTGTGCACTGAGAGAGAGGAAACTCATTGGCTGCAGGAGATCCAGGATACTGCCATAGCCCTCCAGTTACAGTAGGTATGTACCTTGATCAGAGAAGATCAGTAATACCTTAGCTCAAATGTGTCTCTCAGCGGGTCCTTAATTCATCTGAAGTATTTCCTGTATTTTGGTCTTTGTCTTTCATGTTGTAGTATTTTTCACATCTCTTGGTGGCACCTGCATGGTTGACTATGTCAGAGACTTAAGGAATAAAATGACATAAAATTCTGTTACTGTTTTTAGTACTGGAAATCGAACTCAGGACCTTGCACTTGGCAGGTGCTGTGCTTCTGGGTTAAATCCCTGGCCCACATGGGTTACTTTAATATGTCTTTCACTTTTGGGAAGATATTTAGAAGGGAAATTGCTGGCTCAAATGAAATTTCTGTTTTTAGATTTTGTTATGTTTTGTTCAGGCCAGCCTTGAACTCAGGGTGTCCTCCTGCCTCAGCATCCTGAGTGCTGGGATTGTAGGTGTGTGCCCCCATGCCTGGCTACTATAAGTGGGTCTTCTTACTCTGTTTTTGACTGATTAATTTAACCTGAAAAGAATTTGTAACATGTAAATATTTTAGGATTAGAGTTATGTGTATACACACTGGAATTAGGAATGCCAACATTTATTTTGTGGGAATGCCGTGGTTATTTTAGTTTAAAAGCATTTTTTCCAAAGCTTCCTCTCTTCACAACGGTAGAGCTCTGGCAATGAATTAAGTGGCCCAGGATTTGATGATATTGTGACCAATTTGTGGTTTCCATCTGGAATTTAAAACAAATTAATAATTTAAGACTATTTACTCCGAAAGTTTAACATACTGTCCTTTTATCATTTACGCACAATAACAAATAATTTACAAGGTTTAGCACACACGAATGTATTTAAAATATGAGAAAAGGAACACAGTCAAAATGTCATTTCTTTGATTCAGTCTCCAATTAAAAGGCCTTATTGCGGTATGCCAAAATGAAACGTATCCCATAAATTTGCATTTGATGTCCCAATTCTAAACCCCAAAATCCTTTCAGTTCCTATATTATCAGTGGACCACTTTGTATAAAACTTAATTATTACCATCCCTAAATTCAGAACTGGAGCTCTCTCCTGTTTTGTAACTTCTTGTCTAAAATCACTAACATCTAAAGGTATGGGGAAAAAAATAAAGCTGAGCATTTAGGGAAGGCTTGGGTTGCCTACAGCAATCAATAGGGCAAACAGTGTTTCTATGCTGGCATTGTGACAGAGTTTCACTGATTAAGTGTTTTACTTGCATTAACCCAGTAATCACAGCAGCTCTCCATAATACACAGACATCATCACCATCTCAAAGAGACTGATTCGTCAAAGTTTACTCACAAAGAAGATGGAGCCTTCACCCACAATTCCCAGGCTCCAGCATCCCTCATCTGTAAACTGCTGTGTTCTGTAATGAACAGCATTTAAACAAGTACACATTTCTTGTTGTTAAGAATGATTAAACATTGCATTAAGCCAGGAAACATGACTTAGAAATACATTTGAAGGATTCTTAAAAATTGCATTTTCTTTAAGTGCAGTCTTGTCTGTAGACCTATGATTTCTGAAGGCTGATTATGCAGTCAAATGACAACTACAGCCTTCTTGAGAATAACATTGTATTTAGGGAAATAAAGTAGGATCAAAGTTTGAGAAATTCTATTCAACAGCTCGGTGATCTTTGCTGTCGGATTTACAATAGGGACAAACCATACACTTATCTAACTGATTCAACAATAAATGTCCTGAATGTTGTCTCAAAATGCTATAGAAGGTACCATGGAAATACCAGATGGAAGGTTATATGTGAAATCCCTCATTATATAAAACTGTAATTATGGTTCATGTAGATTTGTGGTGATGACTCCTTAAAGTCATCACTGAAAAGTAAAATGAATTGCGAATCATAAGAAAATTACTCAGTTTGATGAGAATTCAAGCATATTTACATTCCATACAGGTTATTTAAATCACTTGAATGCTATTGGAGATTTCCAAGTATAACCTTGTACATGACTTTTGCACAAGTTTTCTTTTCTTTTCTTTTTTTTGTCTTTTTCCTTTTTATCGGTACCGGGGATCGAACTCACAACTGCCTGCTTGCAAGGCAGGCGCTTATGCCGCTGAGCTAAATCCTCAGCCCCATTGCGCAAGTTTTCTTACGTTAACATCAATGGGTAATTCAATTCCATTGTATTTTTAAAAATATAATGGTATATATTCTTGGTCAATAATAACTGGCATTTTTTGAAGCCTTATCAATGTTATATACAAGAACATTGCCAAGTTCTTTACAGGCATATTTCAATTCTTTTAGATGGGTACTTTTTTTTTTTTTTTGCAGGTGGGAGCATTGAGGGTCAGAGAGACTGAGGGTCATATAGCTCCTGAAAGTATATATTTCATTTTGGGAGAGTGATTTCTTTGACTGATTTGGTACTAGGGTGAATGATACAATGGTGGCTTTCTTCTGAAGAGTTGCTGCATCCTCTTAGGCTGTAAGTTCTCTGGGAACCGCCCTCACTATATCCTGCACGTGATCAGTTCTTAAGTGCTTGCTGAATAAATAATGATGCGTACCAAGAATTTTTAAAGCAATAACCACTCTCTGTCATGGACTATTTTAATCTCTTATCAGTTTCCAAATCAGAAGTCTCAGCACTGAACATGAAATGCAAATCATTGCTAATGTAAAGTCATATCTTCTGTTCTTAGAACTCTACTTTCAAGGGTGGGGTGTAGTTCAGTGTAGACCTCTTGCCTACCATGTGCAATGGGTGGGTTCAATCCCCAGCACTAACACAAACCTGTGCTTCGATAAACGTAAGAAACCCTCCCCTACACACTCTAAGAGTGAGTTTCTTGATCAGAACAAGTGATTGGTTCAGCCTCTTTGTCAGTGCTGCATTTCATAGGTTTCTCTGTTAAGGCTTTCTGTGGACCAAACCTTGACCCACCTGATTGTTGAGACAGTTGTCACCCAGGTAGTTCTCAAATCCATCTCAGTCTACTGCTGCCACCCATTATCAATTTCCTGAATCACTGGTTCTCAAACTCAGCCGCACAGGGGAATTATCTGGGAATTTTGAAACTTCATGCCTGCAAAACCCCAGCTACACCCTCTACAGGATTCTGATCTGGTTGGTTGTGGCACAGCTTGGGTATCTGGATTTTTAAAAACTCTTAAAGCTCTTTGGTCAAAGTTAGAAACATGAACTGACCCAGTGCAATTGCCTCCTGACTGTTCTTTGCCGCTCTCTGGCCCCCTTCTCCAAAGACTACTGGTTTCAAAATATTTTAATCGCTGCCTCTACTTTCCTTAAATCTTTTCAGCAGTTTCCCATTAGTCTCAGGCTAAAGGCCAAATATCTGAACAGTGCCTTATTATGGTCTTCTACCTCTTCAGCCATGTCCTGCTCCATGAACCCTTGGGCACATCTGTGTCTATGTCCCTAAGTGCTGAGGACTGAGCCTGGGGCTCCATGCATGCTTAACACTTTCTACTTCAGTTCACTTACTTTGTTAGTTCTTCAAGCATATTATTCTCCTTCCCAGTGTACTTTGTTGGTAGCAGGGATTGAACTCACGACCTCATGCTTGCCAGGCAAGTCCAAGTGTACTTTGTGAAGCTATTTCCCTAACTCCTTGTCTAGTTAACTTTTAGCTCCTCCTCTGGGTCTCATCTCATTTCCTCACAGAGACCTACTGAAATCTATTGTTCTTTTTCAGAACCACATAAATTCCTCTTCATGGCATTTGTAGCAAGTGCAGTTTCATGGCTACTTCCATGCTATTCGTGTGGTATCATGTGGTATTGCCAAAAGCTAGCATATTGACTGGCACTTAGGCTCTCAAATTGTTTACTGAAGGAATAAATATAAATGAATGAAAACGTGCTTAATGTCAAATAGCTAAGCCCAAATGATGTTATCTCCAAAATATCTCTAGAATTCATTTATTTCTCTTCATCTTTCTGATCACCCAAGTCCTCATCCTGGTCTAAACTACTAAACTTCCTCAATGGCTGACATTTCTCCACCTTTGTCTCTCTCCAAACTGTCAGCAAGAGTGATCTCAGGACATGAGCCTGGGTCCAATGGGCCCAACCCTTACTTTTCTACTGTAGATTTGTACTTTGCCATGTGGTAGCAAGCTGTGCGTCTCAACACTTTTTCTTGAGGGATCTAGGAAGCAATCTGTGTGTTTATCTACTTGGTGTGACAAATGGAAAAGAACGTGCATGCACAAGGTGAAATTTGGACCCACTTCTGCTTCAGCTGACTGGTTTTGCATATGCTAACCTGAGCACCGCAGAGGGTCCACTAGACCCTCACCACTCCAGGGTTTGTTTAAAAAAAAAAGTTTTCTTTAGATTTTTCTGTAGAAATCAATTCAGTAGAATGAAAAGCCAGATTTGCAAGTTTTGGAGGAAGTCAAAAGTGAATTATCAGATTACTCTTGCATGGATGATGAAGATGATCCATTATGATAACATACATACTTTCATAACAGAAGAATGGTGTGGGGGATGAGAAGGGGGATGGTGATGATGATGATGATGACTTTGACACTGGCCATGTGAGCCAAAGTTCCTATGACAGTAAGTGGAGCAAGAATCAACTAACTGATAGATAACCGGGAATGCGGACTCCTTGATTCAGATGATTAACAAAACAGCAGTGTGAGTACATATTTGACTAGTCAAAATGCTATAAAATAACTATACAAACAAACTGAGTGATCCAATGTTAGAACTAGGTCTCAAAATATATTGAGGATCATGTTATGGGTGAGAGGTATTGGACAGAATGCCAGCATCCCCTGTTAGTGTTGGAAATTGTAGCATAAAATGCTAATAGATACTGTGAAACACTCAAAGGCTGAAATGCAGTACAATACTCAGTATACACCAACAGCCATATTAAAAAATGTGTTTATTACGATACCTCAGTAGCTGAACTGAAAGCATTCATAGGCCAGCTGTACAAAGCATGGATTTCTCTTGGTGATCACAGAAATGTAAAGGATTTATAGAAAGCAAGAGGTCAAAATATGGAATAAAAATTATGCTCCAAAATAAAATAAAGTAAAATAAAATAGGAGCCAGGGATTTAGCTCAGCACCATTAGCGCCTGCCTGGCAAGCACAAGACCCCGAATTCAATACCCCCCAAAATAATTGTTTATGCTATTGTAGATGCCAAGACCTATTATGCTTTTAATTTAGACATTTATCCTGGAACTCAACTACCAGGTCCTTATTTGTATAGCAACAAACTGAATGATGCTGTGAACAGATTTGTTGCTCCCATCTCCCAAACTAATCAGAATATGACCTTCAACTATTGGTTTATCGGTTTCCAATTGATACAGCATTTGATAACAGAGCACAAGTTGACTAACTGTACACAGGAACAAAGCAGAAATTCCAAATGAACTGCTGCTGTTTCAAAACACAGAATTGTAGAGTACAATCTTTGAATTTTAAAAAGATACACCATTGGCCTCATATGTGGCACAGAAAAGCAAGCAGGTACGGCTGAGGTCAACATTTCACCATGGGGGAAATAGGGATAGGAAAACCTTGACAACACGAAAGCCTGAGATGGGAACTTGCACTCACAAAACCAAAGGGGGAGTAGACGTTACTGATGAGTTATGCAGCAACTATGCTGCCACTTCAGATGCAAAACATTGGCCAATAGTTGTGTTTTATTCAATCCTAAACATGTGCAGCACAGTTTGGTAGTTTATAAAGAAAGTAACAAGTGCAAAACATCACTGAGAAGTTTTCTTAGAGGACTGGGACTGGAGCTCATGAGAGATCATTTACAGCAGAGGAAAAACAAAATGTTTCTGCTCAGGGAACGAAGCAAAAAAAACTAGAGCACACTGGTGAGCTGACAGGTGAACAGGCAGGCACAGCGTCCCAAAGACCTACTATGACAACAGGAAAACAGACACACAAAAAACGTCAACTGTGCCCTTCAGCCAAGTACAGGAAAACAAAACACACATGCCGTCAGTGTAAGTGATGCTTGTGTGTGGAGCATGCAGTTGTCATGTGTGAAGACTGCCTTGCGTGTGACAGTTGAAGCAAGGCTTACTTTTGTGATTGAGTTCTATTGGTATTTTTATTATAGTTAATACAGGAATTTATTTTCAAGGTTATTGTTCAGGTTTTGTAAGGAAGTACACAACTGATGTGAAAATATTGATGTCTTCTTAATGCACAATATGTATTAAGAATTTAGTTATTTGTTTTATTGATATTCTATGTTCCTGTTAACTACACACTGTATAATATAATAAGAACCTCCTGACAAAACAGCCAGACCACTGTCAAGTGTGTCCTACAAAAAGGCCAGGAAAGTAAAAGGCATGTGCTGTCAGTGTAAATGACGTGTGTGTGTATAGAACATGATGTTGGCATGTGTGCAGACCGCCTTAGGTGTGATAAATCGAGGTAAAGTTTTTTTTGTAGAATGCTATTGTAGTTTTTTTTTTTTTTTTTTTGGTAGCAGGGATCGAACTCAATCTTGTGATTACCAGGCAGGCACTTAGATTGCTGAGCTAAATCCCCAGCCCACTAAGGTATTTCTATTGTACTTCATATGGCAATTTATTTCTGATGTTCTTTTTTAGGCTTTGTACACAAAACCAGTCGATGTTGAAAATTCTGATGATTTTTCTGTAAACAATATTAGAAACTCAATACTTTGTGATTTCTTTGTTGTTAAGTAGTCATTGTTTAGTATAATGAATCACAAAATTAAAATTAATAATTCATCAGAAACATTCTAAACAATAAATGCTGATCTATCTGATAGATATCTGATGTTTATGTGCCTTGGTGACAAAATTAGTCTTATGCTCCAATGGCTAAAATCTAAATGATATGCCACTCTTCTTCGAAATCCTTTAGTGTCTTCTCATTACTCTTGAAATAAAATCTGATTACCTTATCATTCCTACCCTCATTCACCACCCATGGAACCCCAGTGGGTTCCTCAAATTTGCCAAGACCTTTGCAGCTCTCAGGAGCTCACTTTTTACTGTCCCCTTTGCCTGAAATGCTTTCACTTGAGTCATTTACATTTTTCAGAACTCAGCGAAAATTACGTACATTTTCCCTGATTGCTCCGTTTAAAGGAATTTTCCATAGCTGTAGTCCTCAATCTGCTCATTTCCTGGACAGTTCTCCCTGGATATGTGGGGTCCCTCGCCCAGGATGCTGGCTCTGTGGCAGCTGTCTAATCTGTCGTGGTCACTGCATGCCCAGGAAACACAAAGTCTAGTTCATAATTGGTACTGAATTAACAACTGAACCCTGCTGTGGTTGCCAGCTGCCCAGGGTACAGGTTACTCCAGTAACAGGACTACTTCAGGGCTGCCATGTGTGACTAATAGCAGAAGGAACAGGGTAGGACTTTGGAGTCTAGGTCGTAAAATGCACTGTAGTTTCCACTTTAGTCCTGTCTCATTCATTCCAAGGGGAGCTCACGCTAGGCCACCAGGACAGGAGCAGCCGTGTGTAGAGGCCGCTAGCCAACAGTCAGCTGACTGTCCTGTTGTGAGCTGCCTGGTCAGCTGAGGATGCTGCCCTTACCGGTATCTGCCTGAAGCTTCAGGAGCTATTCCAAGCCAGAACTGCTCTTAAGATTGTCTTAGTTACTTTTCTCATTGCTATCAACACCCAAAGAAGTGAAAGGTTTATTTAGCTCACAGTTTGTGGAGATTTCAGTCGATAATCAGTTGGCTTCAAGACAGGATGGCACATAGCAGAGGAGCAACAATTAATGATGGCAGACGACAGCAAAAGCAACAAAAGAGAGCAAGACAAACCTCTCTCCCTTATATTGTATGGAGTCTACCTTCCTGGATTAGGGCAGTGCCAGCCCAGTCAGTGGACTGATCCAGCAACCAGTCACCCTTGATCCCAGCACCCTTGATTCTAGCACTGTACTACAAATCAGCCACACACTCTAGATTCAGCCACCTCTGAAAAACACCCTATGACCACATGAGACTTTAGGGGGATATCTACATACAAACCATAACACAGAACCCATGAGAGAAAACCTCAGGGTTCAGGTTTTAAGCCACTGAGTTTCTGAATGATTTGTTACTCTGTATTAGATAACTAATACACATTCAGTCAATGATTCAACAACTAAAACAAGGAATACTGCAATTTAACAGATCTTCGGACTAGTACAGCCTCACTGGGTAGGTGATACCCAAACTGTTTCTCATCATTTATTGCATAGTCTGAACTCCCCAGCATCATATTTTCAATTGTCTGCAGTTCCCAACTTGAATGCACCTGCCTTAAACTATTGTTTCTATCAGAGTCTCGATCAATCTTGCAGAATCAAGAGGCTGTAGAGTTACCTTCAATTTTTCTCTCCTGCATTTTCTTTTAGCACTGTCCTTGCTCACGTGAAATACACTGCTATGTAAGTCTTCATTCCATTTCCTCTGCAACCTTCCTAGTTCATTTAAGAGCAAGGGCTTTAGAGGGGCAGATCTGGGTTTGATCTACAGGCGCATTGAAGTCCTGGCTGCCAGAGGCCAACGTGACCCCCTCTCTCCACTCCTGGTCTTGTCATTCTCTAAGAGGCTGATGTGTCCTGTGTTCTTGTCCCAGTTGGACTGGAAGCACCTTGCATTTGGGGTAATTGCCTGGAATTTCTATGTACCTAGCAGAAGGCTAGAGCAATAGCAAGTGGTTACTGTTTGATTGCTCTGCTAGGATATTTATTGGGTTATAGAATTAGAAATTGTCTTCTAAAATAATCAAGGGAGAATTCTGTCTTTCTGTTTGTCTACCCAAGCTTTCCTCTTGGCAGAGGAATTATGAAGTAGTTCCTACTTGCTGCCACTTCTGGATCCCCCTGCAAAAGAGATTTTATCCTCCCCATTGATCTTGAAGGGACACACGGCTTCTTCCATTCTGCATGGCTGGGGGTCTCATGCACCCTTCCCCATCGCCATCGGCCCCTTGGGGCTCCTCCTCACGCCAGCAGCCTCTGCACCACCCGGTGTCACATACCTTTCAACCCTAGCCTGTGGCCCTTAACCCACTTCCTTTACTGCAGCCTTTCCAGGCCCCAGCCTGGCCTCCACCCCAGCTCCTCCTTCCCTAAATGACCTCTTTCAGCCTCTGTGTCCTCCTCAGTCCCTCTGTTTCCTCTTTTCTCAGGTAAAAACCCCTCTGGCATTTAGGACCTGGCTTTTCCCTACTCGTAATTTCTTACCCCAAGCCCCTTCTTCAGTCTAGCTCCCATCTCAACTTCATCTACTGCCGCCCTATCCCTGGCTCAGCTCTCCCGAGATCTGCCTGTCTCTGCCCAGTGCCCAGTCTTCCCAGTCTAGTGCCCAGTCTTCCTGCCTTGTTCTTCCTAGGAGAAGAACAAGGCTGCTTCCTCCCCGCCTGGCTCTGGCCTGCAGCTCATTGCTCTGGGGAGAAGACCGGGAAGGGTAGATCCTTCCCACCCCACCACTCTTATCTGCTAGTTTCCTTTCTTTCTTTTAAACACTCACTTAAAAGTCTACCACTTTCTCACTTTAGAGAAAACCACTGAAGCACTAGAAGTACAGGTGACACTTGGCTGCGACAGAAGCCAAGCGGTGCACACACAGGAATGGAGTGGTCAGGGCTCAGCTCTGCTTCTCTTACTCCTAGCTGTCGATCCGGGGGGATAGTTAAGAAGCGGAATCCTGTAGTGTGAGTGGGAAAATAACAGCACTTACCTCAGCTGCTGTGAGACTACGTATGCACCTGCCTCAGTGGAAGAGCCCCTAAAATGTTGGTGTTTGCCCACTTAGACAGTCTGCCATGGAAGTGATTTGTGCAGTGGACTAAAGTCCAAGGCACCAGTGACTACGGGAACACAAGGAATGCTTAAACTCAGCATCCTCACCTGGGTCACAACACAAGGCCTTCATTTTGTGTTGTTTACTGCAGTACTGAGGATTGGCCCCAGAGCCTTCACAGTGAGCTATATCCCCAGCGCTTTTATATATTTTTAAAAATCTCGAAACAGGGTCTCACTAAATCATGCATTTGCCTAGACTCAGATTCATGATCCTCCTGCTCAGCCTCCCAAGTGCTAGGATTCCAGGTTAGCACCGCCATACCCATAGAAATTTTAAACCATACACCTTGATGTGTCAAATAACTGTCATAAAATCATTTAAAATAGAGGAAAAAAGTTTCCCCAACAGCATGTTCAAGCACACTTAACCCTTTGAAGTGATCTGCAGCTCAGTGAGGAGGACTCATACCCAAGCCTGCTTCCTAACAAGGACATGCATGCATTTTTATGGCTGCAGGTTTGTGCACTTAGGGAGCTGGATGGAGGGGGAGGGAGCACCCATGGGGCAGCCCCTCATGTCTTCTGCACACATCTACCTGCCTCCAGCCGCAGACACGCTCCCTGAGCTAGCATGCCCACGGGACAAGCTCATCTGTGCCCTAGACAAAGTTAATTTCAGCAAATCAAGAGCACTGGGTGGGACTTACCGATCTTGTAAAACGGTAGTGAGTAGTCTCTTTGGTAGGTGGTTTCCTTATACCACGGCTCAGCAGGCTTTGAATGTCTTCGAAAACAAATGTATTGAATGAGAGTCTGCTGGTCTAACTGAGGTTGATCCGAAGTTTCTCTTTTGGCTGAAATGGCGGAGTCTAAGAGTGGTCTAAGTAGAGATAGAAATACCGTGCTAAGCACCCATTGGAAGAAAAGTGGCCCATCTTCTCACCAACAGCAGTGGCCAGGAGACTAATAAGACAGGGTTGACAAGACGTCCATTGCCCCAAGGCCACTGCTGGTAAAGTCAAGGTAGAGAGCGAAGGGTTTCAGTCCTTAAAGGTGACCTGCATCCCACCTCCCTGCTCTGCCCATGCCAGCTCCGTGCTCTACTCCAGATCTCCATGGTACCCTCGCCCAGCAGCATTTTCCTGAGGGTGTTTTGGTCCTTGAAGGACCCAGTGCATTCTTTTAGCAAAACCACCACTGTGGTGCATCTTGGTGTTTGACAGACCTGAAATCAGTTATGAACTTCTTGTACCGCTACTCTGATAGATTCCTCCAAAGATAAAAACCAGGCAAGATAAAGGCAAGACACCTTCACATAACATGGGCACATTCATTCACTGGTACACCTTCAGTGGTACATATTAAGACCTTGAAAATATGCATGCATTTTGTCTCCGCAATTCTAGCAGTTTGGGATAGTGATAGAAACTTAGCTCTAAGAATGCTTAACAGATTGTCTTTATGGTAATAGAACGTACAAACACCTTCATTTTAAAAAATCAAGGTGATAGATATCTGCTAGTTACCCTGACCTGAACATTGCACATTGTACTGAACGTCTCCCATAAATATGTACAATTATTGTGTCAATTAAAAATTTAAAAAATTTTTAAAAAGAAAGTATGTGGAACTGGTCAATAATATAGACATATCTAGAATGATCATACCACCATTAAAAATGATGAGGTGGAATTACAACTTTTGAGATGGAAAAAGTCCATATTCATGTTATCAAATTTAAATAAAGTTTTGACTAAGCAGTTTATATGGGTGAGTTGTATGGTATGTGAATTACCTTAGTAAAGTCATTTCCACACACAGAAAAAGTTTCACAGAGCCATCCTACCCTATTTTGGTTGGATCTGAAAGATTCTGCATAGTTATTTCGAGATTATGACTTTATCAATGTTTTGATTTTTTACTATCGATGTTTTCTAAATATCCTCACAAATATGTATATTTCAAACTATAAAACATGTGAGGTGACCTGCTACAGGTGGGAAAATATTAAATGTTGTCTGAGATTTAGGGACATCTAATTCCAATCAGGTAAGATGATATCACACTTACAAAGAGATGCCTAAACCTATTCAATAATAATCAATGATGTTGGGGGGTTGAGGAACATAACTCAGTGACAGAACATTTGGCTACCATGTATGAGGCACCAAGTTGTATTCCTAGTACACACACACACACACACACACACACACACACACACTCACACACTCAGACACTCACACAGTGTTGGGCTGGTGATATGGCTCCTTGATATAGCAGGTGCTTAGCATGCATAAGGTGATAGGTTCAATTTCTAGTACAAGAAAGCCCCGATAATGCTTGCCTAATTGGATAGAAACTTGATTGTAATGTGCCTCCTTTGATAAAGAATGTGTTAGCACAAATGGAGTGGCTCTCCATTGAGTTCAGAATAAACAGGAGTAAGAATGTGACTGCGCTTGTGGGATGAGGAACTGGGAGAGACCCGGGTGGGTGGAGGCAGCTGTGCTGGGAGGGGCTGGAGAAGCAGCAGGAACTCGCACCCACCTCTCCTGGCTCTTCCTTTATGCTCAGTACGTAAGTGCCCTGGTTGGTAAGCACCTACTCTACAAAATGTGCCTCCCAGTGGCAATGAAGACATTAGCTCTCTGTTGAATGTGTCACTATAGTGTGATTTTGGGTCAATGTGACCATCATTGTCAGCCTGACCATTTCTGTCCCATCGACAGCTCTGGGGTCTGAACTGAATCCCAGCAACCGCCCTCCTATCTACCCCCCTGCACTGCCAGCCTGCCTCTGCCTTTGCCTTACATGTTTCTGAAGAACCAGAATATGCTCCCTTTTCAAGTAAGATATTAGTGCTCTTCTACTACTAAAAGTGTCAAGCTGGCAGAGGAATATATCCAGGAAGGTAAGACGCTAGGCACCCGCCAGGTGACACCATTATTACAGTAACTAAATTTAGATCCTTGCTTGGCAATGCACAGACAATTGTTGTGCTACAGAGAAAACTATTATGGCGTCTGTGTGTGCTCCTCTGTGGTTCTTTCAGAGGACTTTCTACATCTTGGAATGAGTTTGGATCTATCTATCTATCTGTCTATCTATCTATCTATCTATCTATCTATCTGCTATCTATGGATGATAAGTTTTCTTATTTCTAAATTTCTCTCCAACAAGTAATAATACATGTATTTAGGACTGGTCCTAAGAACTACATTATTTCCTGTTTTGATTTACATCCTCCCCATTACTCTTATCTAGATGCTTGATAAACTTACAGGTGGACATTTGTACTTATAGACTGATCTTGGCACTTACGGATTGACATTTGCATGTTAAAGCTACTCTTGGGCAGATGCAAGTCTTGGCAAAGCCAGTCAGCCTTCCTTTCAACAGGGCCACGCTGTGGTAGAACTGGTATTTGGCTCTTGGTCAGATGGGACAAGGTGGAGGTGGTGGGGGTCATCAGAGTTCCCACCGGACGCCTCTCAGGCTGCCCTGTGCCCTCAGGTGGGCGGGTCTGAAAGTGGGGTGCTATCATTTTCTTTCTTGAATTTCTTATAGTAAAGAACCAACATCTTACAATAAGTGTTTGCGAGGGTGGATGTGACAGTGCCCACTGTACTTGAAACTACTTGGAAAGTTGAAGCAAAAGGATCACATGAGCCCAGCATTCAGGACCAGCCTAGGAATCATAAAAAGACCTTATCTAAAAAAATTTTCATATTCTACAAGCATGTGGTTGGAAATAAGAGCTTTGAACTGAGAATCAGAATATATGAAGAAATTTAAGCTCAATGTTTATGCTGTGTGAACTCAGTGACAACATGTGACTTCCTTGTGATGCTTTTCATTCATCCCACTTGAGAGAGATGATCTCTCACTATCTCCAGTTTGATCATGTCAGGAGACACACGCTGCTCTAAGGCACAGAGGCCATCGTTCCTTTTCTCTACACGGAGGACGATTGGTCAATAAAGAGAAGAGAAATTTGTAATAGATACTAGATGATAACTTCAAAATAATGGTTTTCATATGTTGAATGCCTAATGTGTTCTGGAATTTTATACCCATTATTTTATTTAGCAGATGAAGCAACTGATACTTAGAGAAGGGATAATAATTGCCCAAGATCAAACATTTCATAAGTTCCTTAAATTGCTGATTTTACTTACTGTAGTTTTCCAGGTTCCTTAACCTAGAAAACAAGGTCAAGGTAACTGTGAGTTTTCCTTTTTGGGAAAACCACATATGGAAGGATAGAAACTATCTAGGTCAAATTTATAAATTTACTAGCAAAGAAACAGAATCTCAGTAAGTTTAAGTTATTTGGCCAGTTCAAAACTCTAAACTCCTGGTGTTTCTCTGATTCCTGTGGTGGTTTAATACAATTTTATTGCTGATCTTAAAACTAAGATGTAGTCATTAGCAAAAAAAAAAAAAATCTGGAAAGTAGAGAAAAAATTAAAAATGAAAATATAAAATACAAATAACTTCACCATTCATATAGAAAAAAACACAAGCAACAATAAAAACATTATTGGGGCAGAAGATGTAGCTCAGTCGAAGAGCTTCTGCTTAGGATGCTTCAGGTCCTAGATTCCTTTCCCCACATCCACACAAAACCACGCAAAACACAAAAGCAAACAAAATTGCAACATTTTAAATAATTTGGTATATTTTCTTTTAAGCCTTTGTCTATTCATTAAATAGTATTTTTCAACCATTATTAACATCATTAAGATTGTGTCAACCCATTTTCCCCCCAAATTTAAATATCTGATCCAAAAATGGGCATCTCCGATGAACATACATTTCTCAGAGGAAGAAATGCAAACAGTAACTAAATATATGAAAAAATATTCAGTGTCACTGATTATTTGAGAGGTGCAAATTAAAATAGCATGAGATTCCATCTCACTCCAGAAAGAATAGCTATCAGCAAGAAATCAACCAATAACAAATGCTGGTGGGGCTGTGAGGATAAAGGAACACTTCTCCACTGTTGGTGGGAGTGTAGACTGGTGCAATAACTGTGTAAATCAGTGTGGAGATTCCTCAAAAAACTAGGGTTGGAGGTCCCATTTTACCCAGGAATTCCCCTGCTGAGTCTCTTCCCATATGAATTAAAAACATACCACAGCAATATATGTTCACCCATGTTTATAGCAGCACAGTTTGTAATAACTAAATCTTGGAAAGACTTTAAATGCCCATCAACTGAGGAATGGATAGAAAAGATGCATGGTTTTTTAAAATACAGTGGAGTACTACTCAGCCATAAACAATGATAAACTTGAGACACCTAGGTAAATGGATGCACATTGACACCATACTCCTAAATGAAATAAATCAGACACACATATATAAATATTGCATTGCTTCTTTGGTACAAGAAATTATTTTTTCCATTTATCACGCTAGCTTTCCATTTATCATGCTTTCTTGGAAATAAAGGTTTAGGAATGTGTCTCACCTGGGAGGTGTCTTCACACTGTAATCAACATGGAGTCTTGCCAGCTGCCCATGGTAATAGCCTCGGAGGTCCTTTCCTTGATGATTAATGAATACACTAGTGGAGAAAGTAAAGAGAGGAGAAAAAAGCAATTATTAGTTCTCTGCAGGACGATATCAGCTGTGGTAGGAAAGAAAATCCATCAGGACTTTGTCCCCCGTTCTTGACAACTAGAATCCATGAAATTTTCTGGTAGTGTCCTTGTCATTCATAGTGAGCCTCTTTCAACCATACCCGGCTTTACGGTACTTGCAGGTCTCCTGTCCTACATCACAACGTCTAACATTGTAATAAAACACTATTTATTTTCAAGATACATAGAGAAATATTTAACACTATGTTCAAAATGCTAGGAAAAAAGGAAATAAGAGGATATAGAAAACCAGTGGGGCAAATATTGCTAATTGTTGAAATGTGGGAATAAGTAATAAACCATTATACTAATTTTTCTCTTCTTTTGATATGTTTCCAAAATTTCATAAGGTTTAAGAAAAAGTGAAATAGCTAAGTATATACTGGAGCACAGATTAAGCAGGGCTGATACAAAGCCCGGAAGAAGACTCTGGCCCTGGAACCATGACCAGAAGCCACAGGGTGGGCATGGTCGGGGAGGCTCATGAGACAGCTCAGGAGCTCTGGCTGTGCACCCTGCATGCAGCGGTGCTGTAGTTTGAAGGTTAAACGCCCCAAAGGTCCATGCATTAAAGGCTTGGTCCTCAGCGTGCTGCGGCCTTTAGGAGATGGGCCTCAAGCAGAGTCCTTAGGTCACTGGAGGTATGAATGGGATTATGGGATTGTGGGACCCCTGTCCCCTTCCTTCTTCCTTTCCTCTGCTTTCTGGACATGAAGTGAGCAGCTGGCTCTACCACACACCCCCTCCTATTGCCACCGGAACCAAGAGGACCAATGGATCACAGAATGGAATGTCAGAAACTATGAGCCAAAATAAATCTTTTGTTTTTATAAAATAATCATTTTGGGTGTTTTGTTATAGTCACAGAAAGCCAAATAGCACAAGGAGTACTCAGACTTTATATCTTAAAATGCATCGTACTTTACAGCAAATTACTTCTCCCATTATTTTCTAATTATAACACTAATTGGTATTTTAAAATTATGTGTGCATGGTATTACGTACAGATTTTGTTTGTTCTTTAAAAAGGGCATTGTGTCTGAAAGCTTGAAAATCAATGACATAGGTGACAGCGTATCTTTGTAACATTTTAAAGGTTAATGCCATGTTACAGAACTTTTCTCTGGTGGCAATCAGAGCAATCTGACTAGGAGTGGAGAAAGACTGCTTAGGAAGAGACTCATACTTTATGTGAGACCCGATCAGTCTGAACAATGTGGAAATGAGGGGGAGATGAGGGATTGTTGTCATGGGAAATGGAAATGGAACGGATGTTGTGGGCATCCACACCAAGATGACAACTGAGGCAGCACCGAGGTTTCAGTGTTCTGCACACTGACTGTTCATACCTCAGGTGTGCAAGATAAACACATGCGATATTGTCTTTCAGTTTGAATAAAGATATAACAACAACAGCAAAAAGGGAAAGTAGGAGAAGAGGACTGGTTGAGGATTTTTAGGAGATGGAATAACGGACTTAAGGATAGATGAGAATTGTCCAAGACAAGGCTTAGGCTTCAACCACTGGGAAGAACACCTCAATCCCTTAAAGAAGAGCCAAGGATGCCAATGTGGTGGGGCCTGTGGGTGGACTGACAATAGGTGGTCACCTTGTAACAGCCAGCTGAACTGAAGCAGCATGGGGCTGAGGACTGTTGTCAACATTAAAAAGGAGAACTGGAGAGGAAAAAGTAATGTTAGTTCTTCTGGGTGTTGTTGGTTCTCCTGGGGTATGTTAATTTTCCTGTTTTGGGTTCTCCTGGAGCTTCTTTCCTGATATGAACTTGGCTGTTCTCATTGTCAGAAGAGCTCAGAATCTTGTTATCACTGAGAATGGCCGCGGTTCACTTTGGGGGAGCTCTGGTTCTTATTTTGAGCAACACTTCCTGGCTCCAGTGGGGAAGATGTGTGCTGTTCAATCTCCAGGCGAAGCTTGTCACACGGGCTTCCTGATTTGAACTCAGCTCTTCTCATTGTCAGAGGAGCTTTAGATCTTGCTGTCACTGAGGATGGCTGTGATACTTTTGGGTGAGCTTGGTCCTTCCTTGAGCATCGCTTCCTGGCTCTCGTGTAGATCCTTCACACAGATCTTTTATATCACTGGCACAGACTTTCCAGCTTCTACCACTGAACTTTGAGCCTTACCAGTGCAGATCCATGAAACAGACTTGCATGAGACATTGTGATGGGCTCTAGGCCTCCAGTTGGACTTGTAGGGGGCATTGTCATGGGCTCTTGGTCTTCAGCTAGACTCAGGAAGGACATTGTTGTGGGATTCAGGCCCTCGGCTAGATTCCTTGGGTCTTTAGTGTGTGGACAGATTTCCTGCACTTCTTGTATTTGACTCTTTGGGAGATTATTATAAAATAATAAATTATGTGTCCTGTATTAAGTTGTTTTCCTTGCAAACCTTGACTACAACAGCATTTGTCTTTATTGAGTTCGTGATGCCTACATGTGTAGAGTATTTTTGAATCATCTACAAATTCTGAGCACTCACTAGATGCCATGAGAATGCATAGACAAGGAGAAGAGTCCAGAGAAAGGAACACATAGTTTTGAATAGCATAGTTCACTGCACAGGTGTTGGATCATGAATGAAGTTTAAACTATGCCTTCAGTTCAACCAACATTTAGACACCATAAGGCACATTGCACTCATCTAGGCTCTGCAGATACAAAACTAGGAAGCAGTCCTGGTCCTCAAAGTGCTCTTCTTATGCTGAAATAGTGGCCCCAGGAAAGGCTGATGGAGCAGCAGGAGGGAGAGATGTTAAGGGTTTGAGTAGGCAAACAGGATGGGGAAGAGACTCCAGGTGAAGGGCACTACAGAATCTAAGACTTGAACAGAACTGAGTAGATTGTATAGAGATATTCGTTAGCTTTTTGTTTCTATAATAAATGCCTGGGATGAATCAAAGAAAAAAGGTTTATCTTGGCTTTGAGTTTTGAAGGTTTCAGTCCATGGCCAATTGACCCCATTGCTTTGTACCTGAAGCGCATCACAGCAGAAGTGCAGAGCAGAGCAAACTGCTCCCCTTGTGGCAGAGAGGAAGCAAAAAAAAAAAAAAGAGGAAGAAGGGCAGGGTTCCAATAGCCCCATTTCAGGGCACACACCCAAGAACCTAACTTCTTAAAGGTTCCACTATCTCCCAGCAGCACCATAGACTAGAGACCAAGCCTTCAACAGAGGGGCCTTTGGCAAACAATCCAGATCTGCACTGGAGCAGGGGCCAGGGTAGGCCTGGCTGTCTGTGCAGAGGAGGTTCCACAAGCTTGGACTTTCAGAAAGTCCCCAGGCTGCCGGCTGGATACTATGGCTGCAGACTCAACAACTGCAGAGGATAAAGTCACAAGAGGAAAGAGAAGTGACACCGAAGCAGGGAACACATGACTTTTCTGAACCCATGGGACAGGAAGACAACAAGCTTGCTTAGGCACCCACTCAATTTCTAAAGCAAGGCCTCAAGGAGCTCCCCCAGAGCTGTGTTACCCACTGGGAGGATCCTTGGGCTCCAAAGGACCCTCAGGTTTCTCTTCTTCTTCCCTGGTGTGCACCCAACGAATACCTGTGAAGTGCAGGTGGGCAGACTGAGCCCTGCTCCGCAGAAGCTTTCTGTAAAATCTGCTCTTACAGTGGGGAGCCCTCCCCGTGCCCCAGCAGCGCTCCTGCCTGCTGGGAGTCCCTGCCAGCGCCCCAGGGTGGATGTTGGCAGGAGTGGGTGGGAAGCAGGAGAGCGCATCATGAGGTGGCTGCTGGGAGGAGGGCAGCTGGGAGGAGAAGTGGGAAGCAGAAAGGTGTGGGGAAGGAAGCTGTGACACTTCGCCTCACTTCTGCACATGCATGTCCCAGCTCCCCTAGGTGGCCTTCGTGTGAATGTGAGACGCTTCCAATTCAGATCTTACAATACTAGGTTTTTCTGGGGGAGGATTGTTTCCTCCTGGAGATGCATAGTCAACCTTCCCTCAGGAGGCTGAGTAGGGGACAAATCAATTAGATAGGCGACTTGGAGCCCTACCCAGGCTGTGCCCAGACACAGAAACCTTCCTTCTCCTTGGCTGAGCAGGTGGCACAGAGGGTCAATTCCACTGTGAATTATTTACAAGCCTGACAGCTTGGCTCTCTGAAGTGGTGTGTACCTGCCACACAGCAGCAGCCTGTCCTATGGGAGGGTGACTGTAACCAGAGCGAAGTCTGGACTTAGCCCCAGACAAATGCAGTCTGCACAGGTAAGGTCACCTGGACCATGGCCCAAGGTGGCCCGTGTTGCTGATTCTCCTGGGCTGTGCCTCATTCTTTACAAAGCTCTTTGACAGAGATGATCTCATCTACTTCTCACAGCCACCTTGCAAGGTAAATATTATCCACGCCTTGTTTCATAAAAGGAATCTCATAGAGGTTAAATGGACTTTCTAAATATCACCCAGCTAGGAACTGCCAGAGCCATGAAGCAAACCCAGTTCCCTAAGGTCTGTGTCGCATCCAGGTCATCTCTGTGTGTGGATAGTGATTTCCCCTCCAGAGAAGCTCAGTACTGTTTCTCTATGATCTTTGTGACTCTCCTGCTTGTGGACAGATGGTGAAGTAAGCAGAGTGAACCGAGATAGCAGGAAGAGCAATATAGACGCAGCACCATTAGCAGGGTGGACGTTTCCTTTGGAATACAATTTTCTATTACAAGCTCAGCAGTCTGCAGTGTGCTGGGTGGTAGGGAAACGGGATGGAAGTATTGTCTTTCCACCGAGAGTTCATCACCTGATTAGAAAATCACAATCAGGCAACTAACAAATCACAGCCAATATGGCAAATCTAGAACAAATTAGAAGCTGAGGCCTGGGAATAAGTAACTGCACTAAGGACATGAGTTAATACACACAGCAGATGGCATTAAAGGCAGAGAGATCACTAATCCTTTTGAGACAGGGAACCCCAGTTTTCTCATCAGTAAGATGGGAATGATAATTACCATTTCCACTAGTGGTTACATCAGAGGAAATGAGACATTTGTACACGGCTACTAGAATATCTCCTTGATCTGCCCAGGCAGGGAGATGAGCTGACCACATAGCTGCCACTAGAGTTTTCAGACATCACTTTAATTGAACCTGTGCATGTGTCTGTGTGTGTGTGAGAGCCCTCAGGGTCAGGCAGTTCAGGATGAGTCAGATGAGCACTTGTGTAGAAGAACAGAAGGACAGACTCAGATTCTGTTTGTCATCAGGAGGCCAAACCACAAACAAAGGACAGAATAATTCTGATCATTTATTTTAATCTACTCAGCAACTGTGCATAGAGGGTTCATAGCACATGGCCATCCACTAGACAGACATTATAGAAATGAGTGACAGAGAAAGTTAAGGAAGTCCTTATGCGTGGTGTTAACCTGGAGCTACAGCTCCAGTGACCCCCTGGAGTGACCCGCCCAACAACAAATGGTGGCAGCAGACTAGTGAGTTCAAGTCCTACCTTTGCCAATTGTCTTGGAATAATTACTTACCCACAGTGTGCATTGTTACCTCATCTTGAATTCACAGTTGTAAAGAGAAAATAAGATGATAAACTTAAGATAATGCTTGTATGTTAGTCAGTTTTCTGTGGCAGTGATAAAATTCCTGAGAAAACAATTTAAAAGTGGATTTGGGCTCACGGTTTCAGAGGTTTTGCCCCATGACCAGTCGGCCCTAAGGCTTTGGGCCTCTGGTAGAGAAGAACATCATAGTGGGAAGCACTGGAGGAGCAAAGCAAAGGTACTTCCTGATAGCCAGGGAGCAAACCGAATGAGAGAGAGAGAACCCAAGAGAAAAGTGGCTAGAGCCAAACTATACCCTTCACAGGCACCATCAATGACCTCCCACCTTTTAAAGTTTCCACTGCCTCCTAATAGCCCATTCAGCTAGGAAGCCAATAATGGCTTAACCCATCAATGGTTAAGTGCTCTTATGATTCAAATCACTTCTAAAAGATCTCAACTCTGACAACTGCTGTGTTGAAGACCAAGTCTTCAACACGTGGGTTTGGAGGGATATTTCAAATTCAAAGTATAACAACTGGGTACACAGTAAGCGCTGTCACTATTATCATACCAGCAGTGAGTCAGGCAGGAAATTTTTAAAAATATAGTATCTGGATGTTGTGATAACAGATGTAAAAGAAATTTAAGAGTGTGAAACAGGGAATCACAGAGGTGGAGAGACAGGAGATTTCAGTCCAGGTGGTTAAGGAGTGTGACAGGTTGGGGAAAGGAGCAGAATAAAGATTTTGTAAGCATTGATACATAAAAGAAGCATGGATTCCTGAAAGAACCAAAGGGTAGACAAAGAACTTGAGTCAGGAGAAGGTTGGAGAAATAGGCAGGGGTATTTCCTGTGGAGTTTGTCAACCATGGCAACAAGTGTGAATTTTATGCTAAATGTAGTGGGTTGCAGGGTTTTACTGAAGGAGCTCTGTGGTCCAGTTCACATTTTCTGGAGCTCACTCTAAAGAACAGATCATTGAAAGATGCAAGCAGGCACTGTTGAAGCAGCATAGGGAGAGGATGGTGATTTGGAGCTTGTAGTGGCAGTAAGCTGTAGCCACGCTGCAATGGTTTGGATCTGAAATGTTCCTCAAAGACCCATGTGTTAAAAGATTGGACCCCAGTCTGTGGCCCTATTGAGAGATGGTGGAATTAGTTAAAGGAAGTTAGAGGGGGCTCTTTAGAGGAAACTAGGTCACTCAGGAAATGTCCTTGAAGGGGACATTGGGACCTTGGCTCTTTGCTCTTTTACTTCCTGGCCACCATGAGGAGAGTGACTTCCTCTGCCTTAGGCTTTTGCCATAATGTACTGTACCACAACAGGCCCCACGAAAAAAAGCCAAGAAACCATGGACTGATCCTTCCAAAACCAAGAGCCAAAATATCCTTTCCTTATTATTAAGTTGCTTATCTCACAGGCATTTTGTGATAGTGACACAAAGCTGACTAACACAGCAGCATTCAGATAGGGGATCTATCCTGGAGGTAGAGTTGATGGAACTTGCTGAAGGAGGGGGATCTGCTATTGTTGGCAAAGTGTGCGGCAGGGAGAAAGCTGCCCCACAATGAGTCTTGCTGGTGGAAGGTGGGCATCCTCCTGCAGGGAGAGGAGGAGCAATCGCAGGGAGAGGAAGTCTGCTTCCTCTCATGTGGCTTGATAATAAGTGCAAGTGAGCTAAAGATAGCACAGCCATAGGATTTCAATGGCTGCCCCACTTTGTTCCACTAAAAGCCTGAGGCTTCCTGAGAAGCTCTATGGAACACCAGACAATGGCAGTCAACAAAGATTTGTTTGTATTTTCCCAGAGAGACAAGACCACAGTTAAATAGGCCTCATGGTGGACAAGACAATCTCATAATACACAGAAAGAACAGGGACTTGTGGGGAAGGAGGAATCAGGAAACATTGGAACCAATTCCTGTTTCTTTTCACCTTGCACGCGCCTTGGGGTAGACTTTAGAGCCTGAAGTGTAGGTTCTGTGCTTTCTCTGACAAGAAGATTCCTAAGGAATCCAGGAAGCAAGCAGCTTCCTACCCAGTCTTGCTTTAGTAATTTCTAAGAGAAAGAGAACTCATTTGTTGACCAAACATAGTTAGACTAAATACTAACGCAAGAATAAGATTTGCTCAAATCTATGCAATCAATGGTGCTACTAGAGGCTGATCCTAAAGTCAAAACATGAGATTTGCTGCCTCAGCTTCCAGGCTTTTAAATCTCTTTAGTCCTTGTAGGACAGGGCGGTAGGAAGGGAGAGTGTGGTTAGGATTTACTGATCTTATCTGACATCTCTCAATGAGTCTAGCCCCATAAAACATGTCTGGGACTCATTATCTCTGTGCCCTAGATGACCTTAGAGAAGGAGTAAAATTCCTCTGTAGTCTGCATCTGTGCAGCCACATAATGCAGAAGCATGGAGTGGTGTGATTAAAGGGCTCCCACCCAAAATTTGGGGTCCAGGCCTTCGTACTTCTTGGTAACGCCCTTCCCAAAAGAAAGACAATACTTTGATCTTTTGGGAATGGGAAGCTTGCTCAGATTCTGAAATACATATGGGATTTCTTTGCTTACAACTTTCCCTAAACCTTCACTAGGGCCCTCTGGAAGCAGCTGTCTTTCAGTTATGAAGGGCAAGGTGAACAATTCTACTACCTCAGGTAGCTGCGTGCTTTGCCTCTGCTCTGGGAGACTTAGCATAGGTGAGAACATTACCTTGGTGGAATCACTGGGCGACGATTAACAAATTCTCGAAGCCAGATGTGCGACATGGTGCATGGGAACCTTAAAAGAAATTACAGAGTGAAATTTCATATCGCGCTTGTGTACATTTCCAGGCATAAGCTACTGCTACAGTTTGGCTAGGGGATAGCCCTGTCTTAGTCACTTTCTGGTTGCTGAGACACAATACCCTACACCCACAACTTCAAGGAGGGGTGGTTTATTTGGCTCACAGGTTGTAGAGAGTTCAGTCTACAGTTGACTGGCTCCCAGGTAGGGCAGCACAGTCAAAAGGCCTGGGCAGAAGAAACCTGCTCACCCTATAACATCCAGGAAGCAGAGAGAGAAGGGCAGGGCCAGGGAAGGAGCTACGCCTTTCCAGGGCACATCCCCAGTGAACCCCCTCTTCCAACCAGACCCCACCCTTCCCAACAGCATGCTTAACTGTACACTCATCAGTGCTTACAACTTTCCCTAAACCCAGAGAAGTCGCAGTGGTGGTGGTGTTTGGGGTAGATTCCTGATCCTAGTTATTCTGGGAGCAACTTTCTGATTTTTGTGGAGTTGCTCTAGAAACTACACCTGCCCAGTGATTTTGTAGCCCCTCATTCTGTCGATTGGGATTTCCTGTACTCACCTCAGACTTCAAAATAATACTTCTATCTTATAAAAAATTTCATATTACATCTGATTACTGACTGGAGGATAGGGATTGCCACAAGCAAAAGTCTGCACCTAAGTATTCATTTGAGAAGGAAGCTATAAAGGACAGGGGAGCCGAGCAGCTGGGAGGCAGAGGAGAAAGCTGTATTCTTTGAAGAGTTTGTTTTGTGTCCCTCATGAATCTTTCAGTCTGTGCACACAGTATGTACTGTCTCTACAGAGACAGCTGAGCCTCTGATTTGAGTAAACACAGCAACCTGTGGCAGAAGGACTGTGGGCTGAGACCTTGGGGCCTGTGGCAGGTCATTTCCACGCTCTGTGTATTGATTTCCCTGCCACTCAGGAGGATGGAATGAGCCAGTCCTGTGTGTAAGCATTCTCGGTAACCTTAAAAGCGCCGTAGAGAAAGGAGAAATATGAGTTTCTATTTATGAGCTTTTATTACATGCCAGGAAGTGTGTATTAACTCACATTTGCCTCCCAGCAACCTTGTAAATATTGTCCTTCTGTTACCCACAAGAAAACAGGTACTAAGAAGTAAAGTGGCTCATGTGAGCTCACAGGGAAGACAGGACTGGAATCGTCCAGCTCCAGCGACATTAATCTTAAACTGTGCTGTGTCAAAACAATCCAGGGCACAGACACCACCAACCAAAACAAAAGAGGACTATTCAAAAGACGCCAGAGAAAAGAGACACAATCACGGGGGAGAAAGGATTGAAAATAAAGTGTTTGTGCCTCCCTGTCTTCCCTTTTGTATTTGTGTTAGATTTTCATTGCTGAGACCAAATGGCTGAGAAAAACAACTTCAGGGAGGAAAGGTTTAATTTGGCTCCCGTTGTTTAGTTTGGGTGTTGGTTTAATTAGTGGTCGACTGGCTCCAAAGGCAGAAGCGCCTGATGGAGAAAAGTTGCCAGGATGCAGAGTGAGAGAGAAAGAGCGATGCAAGAAGGACCTGAGGACAAGTTACAGCCCTCAAAGGTGGCCCCCAGTGACCTACTCCCTCCACCCGATCCCAGCTCCTATAACCCAATCAGCTATGGGTGCATCGCTGGCCAGTCCATAGGAGGTAATCGCCTCACAGTCTAATCACCTCTCCAGGTATCTCTTAATCCAACCAAGCTGGCGATCAAAACTTAATACCACAATGCTCAAAGCTGAACTCACTGTCCACGGGCTGGGTAGCTATTTATTTCACCTCCGAGTATGTTTTTTAAAGCAATTTGAAAATTTTTAACAGCAATAACAGTGGCGATCCAGAGACCCTTGCTCAGATCAGGGATCATGTAGTTTTTCAAAAGGTTTTACTTAAAAATTTGTTAACACAGAGTAATTTATAGATATTGGGGTGATTCAGTGTGATACATTGATTAAACTCAGCCTCTCTTTTCCACATCTGTCACCTTTCCCATCTCTAATGATTACTATTCTATGTATACATTGACTGTTTTCAACTTCCATGTGGCAGTTGGCTTTGTGTTATTTGACTTCACATAATGATATCCAGTTCTATCCTCTTTGCTGCAAATGACAAGTCTTTGCAAGAGTCCTGCAAGTTGTTAATTATCACCCTTCATTTGTAGAAAATGTTAAATTACACGCTTAAGGTGAAAGCCAACTCTGATGACAAAAAAGATTTTTGCACTGCAGTAGAACTGATTTATTGATCAACCAACTTTTCCTCATGCTGCTAGGCACTAGGGGAAAAGCATCTGACAAATGATACACAGCTCCACTGTTGAGTTATTTGCAGTCTGGTAGAATATGAAGTTGCACATTAATCAGAGAATCACACAAGTCATTACCAAATCAAGGCCTTTGGGTAGGCAAGCATGCCCTCTCCTCTTTCAGAGTTCTAAAGGGAAAGGCTCTACAAGTAGGCAAGTCGCTTTTGCTTCAGAAGGCCTGGACATTTTCTCCAACCCAATGCATCTGAGAAGATTTCCTAACAAATACTGGAAAAGCAAGCTATCCACATGCAGCAGATTCAAGCTAGACCCACCTAGCTCACCGTGTACTAGACTAAAAGCAAAATGGATCAAAAATCTAAATGTTGAAACAGACATTTAATTTCTTGGAAGATAAAGTAGATAAAAGCCCTGCAGTTATAGGCACAGGCAAGGAATTTCTAAATAGAACCCTGGTTGCGCAAGAATCAACCAAGAATCAACAAATGGGATCATATCAAATTAAAAAGCTTCTGCACAGCAAGAAAACAACCACCGGAATGAAGAGACAACCTACAGAATGGAAAAGATTTTTTGCTAGCTATTCCTCAGACAGAGGATAATAGCTAGAATATATAAAGAACTCAAAAAACCAATTAAACATTCCCCCAAATTAAAGACCTAACCAAAAACGGGCAACTGAAACGAATAGACACCTCTTAGAAGTACAAATGGCCAATGAATACTCCTTCTAGATATCTTCCTGAAAGAGTTGAAGACATCTATCACAGTGGTATGTGTGTTCCCACGTTTATAGCAGCGTAACTCACAATACTTAAACCTTGGGTATAGCCTACATGTGCATCAGCCGATGGGCAGATAAAGAAAAGGTAGCATTTACACACTGTGGAGTAGTGTCCTTCCATAAAAAAGGACAAACTTGCATCATTTGTAGAAAAGTGAATGTGCCTCGAAACTATAAAGTTAAATGAAATAAATCAGACACATGGCTTAAATATATGGTTTCTCTTACACGAGAACTCAAAATATACATAAAGAGTGAAGTAAAAGATAGATAACAGGAAATAAGGAGATGATACTTTGCAAAAGGAGAGGGGACAAAGAGAGGGGAGGGAGGGGCAGAGAAGAGAATGGAAAAGAATTAAGGAGTGTTATGAACTTGCACCAACTCCCCATGGGGAATGCAGCCATTATGCAAACAAGTACCAAGAAAATAAGCCTTGGCATCCATTTCTATGATATAAAAAAATGGAAAAGAATTATAGTTCAATCAAGGTTTGTTTGCCCTCCCTGTCAAGTGGAATCAGTAGCAATTACCTGTTAGGTTTAATCAATACAATGTGTCCAAAGTAGGTGATTGGCAAATTACTAATGGATCTTTTCAGAGAAGGGACAGGAGTAGAATATTAGACTCAGGGTTCCCAAACTTGGATGGTATTTATCTACTAAGATGTGAAATTCAAGGAACACTCAATGTGTTAGCTTTCATTAATGAAATACCTGAGGTTAGATTATTACATGAAGAAAGATGTTAATATAGCTCAAGTGACAGAGGCTAAAGGGCATGGCGCCCACACCTGCTTGGCTCTGCTGAAGGGCTCATGGCTGGTAATACCAGATGGCAGGACCAGGTGTGGGAGGCAGCAATCACATGGTGAGGCAAGAATCTGGAGCACTGGGTGGGGCCAGACTCAGGATCTCAGGAGATCAAGCTCAGGGGTCCCATGAGAGTACCTTAATCCCTACAGAGAGCAGCTCCTAGTGACCTCAGGAGCTTCCTCATTTCTTAATGCTTCCACACCACCTCTCAGCACTGCAATCCTGGAGACCAGCCTTGTAATACAGAGCCCCTGGGGGACAAACTGCACCCACACCATCGCAGAGAGGAAGTGGCATCCGTTGATTTTATGGATGCATTTTATAGTTCCTTATTGTGCTGGAAATATCTCCTCAGTGGCACTGGGGCAAGTTCAACTCCTGGGGAAAACCACATCCTTGTGATATTCAAGTACAGAAAAGACATGGGGAGGCGTGAGGTGCAGGGCATCTCAGTGTGGCCCTAACCCACCCTGGGTAGGAGCAGGACCACAACCTCCCTCCGTCTGTGGAACTCCCCTGCAGCTGAGGCTCTGCTCCTAGCTGCCTCTGAGCTCCTACATGGTGAAAGGATGCTTAACAGTATGTAGGTGTCTAGGAGCTAGGTGACTTTGACAGTGCCCCATTGTTTTCCCAGGATGCTCCTCTTCCCAATTGAGCAAGGTTGCCCTCGGCACCCCCAATTCACCAGTTTTGTTGGGCATTCTGCTGCCCGAATGTATTTTCCTTTCTCTCTAGTCTAAATGCCATCATTCTAAATTCCACTCTTTCTTCAGGGCCTTATTTAAGTCCTATAAGAGTCCTCTCCAAGGTCTCAGCTCTGAGTTCCAAGTAAGACATTGCCCACCTCTGATGTCCCAAAGCCCTTGAAAATTCTATAAAGCATTTGAGTCCTTTTCTGTTTGATAGATTGATTTCTGCATTAATTCATTTATGCTAACAAGAGAATATTTCAACTTTCACCAAGCTTTGGCTCTAGAGACTCTTCAAACAAAACATCTATCTTGTACACCATCCTTCCTCTTCAGTCAGTGTTAATAGTCCTAAAGATGGCCTTGTGTTCTTTTCTTATCTCCTCATCTTGCAAAGTGTTCTCCATCCTAGAAGTGTTGGAAGTGTGTTTCAGAATGAATGCAGATGTGACAGAATCAACAAGTCTACTTAGTGACCTGGTACTCTAGCGAACAGTGAAAAAAATTTGGTATTCATGCATCACAGAGAGCCAGGTACCTTATATACCACCTATTTCTTTAAAAATAAGTAAGTAAACTTGTTGCAGTAAAGCCACTCATTTAAAGTCGATAGGATTAACTGTTCAGTTTCTAAAATAATTCTTGGTTTTACAAAAAGCTTTCTTCAAAATTGTGAGCTGCTGACTCTAGAACATTCAAAAACTAAATTCTGCTGGTTAGCAGGGAAGCATTAAGTGAGAGGTGAGAGAAGCATAGGCAGTGATGACCACATCAGTTACCTTCTGGGGCCACAGTGGGTGGACTCCCCTCTCTTTCAGCAGTCCTCCGAGGGCAGCAATCACTTCAGCCTCCTCCTGCTGTAGGATGTACTGCAAAGGCGCACTGCAGAGTTGATGCCTTTACATCATTCAAAGGGGATTGTGATGCGCTGTGGGTTAGGAAGATTTGCTCAGCACTGCTTCTCAGACTTGAGCTTATAAAAAGTAGAAAATGTTTAGGTCTCTGTGGAGAGCCTGCACATTGAAAAAAAGGTGAAAACTAGTGTAAATGGGAACACCACACCGGCAAATTACGAACACTATTCACTAGAACTTCCTCTTCCACAAAGGCTGCATAAGGTTGAGGACCTGGGCGGTGCCACCCTGGCTGGTGCTGTCCTTTGCGTGCTAGAAATGAGGAAGTAGGTTTGGCCCAGGACAAAGGTACCAGCTCTGTCTGGTTCCAGACCGGATGCAGCTCCATCTTTCTGGTCCTGAAGGTATCAAAGGAGACTTTTAATGGTTTAAAAATGTAATTCAAGTCTCCCTATAAAGCATCAAAATAGCACTACTAGATAACAAGTCATGAACTAGGAGAGCAGAATGGCAGACACATTCAGGCAACATATATCAAAGCAAAAACAGGCCTGGGAACGTAGCTCAGAGGTAGAGTGCTTGCCCAGCGTGCTTTGGATTTAATCCCTTGTGCTGCAGGGGGGGGGGGCTGCATATTGTGTATTAAAGGTCACTGAGCTTGGCACAAGCTTGAAAAATTTTTTCAGTGATAAAAATTTTTTTATCTACAATATGCTGGCCTGGCAATAGGATGCCTCTTGCAAAAATAAGTTTGCAAGGAAGTAATAAAGTATTTCCATAAAATTCCAGATGGCACTGGAGAGACCAGCTCTGAGCATGGGAGCTTAACCTACAGGAGTAGATACAAAATGATTTAATGCCAGCATCTTGGTGCCATGGCATTCTGTTGAAAACAGACAACCTAGGGAAAATTTTAATATAAGCACAGGGGCAACATGCTGGGTCCACATAAATAGAAATGGTAAATTGGGTCCCAGGCATGGTGGCAGGTGTCTGCAATCCCAGTGACAGGATTCAGAAAACTGAGGCAGGAAGATGAATAGTTCTAAGTCAGCCAGGACAATCTGGTGACACTGTCTTAAGACAAAATAGAAAAAGAGTTGGGGAATAAACTGTGGTAGAGTTCTTGACTTGTATGTATGAATCCCTGGTGTAACCAGCCAAACAAACGCAGCAACATCAACAACAAAAATAACAAAACAAACAGAAAAACCTCATCTGCTAAGTGAGCTTATTCAGCTTTTCATCCTTGATTTAGGTGTAGCTCTTTGGCAGCTGTGATCTCAGTCTCTACTGTGACTCTGAGAGGCAGCTGTCTCCATTTGAAATAAAGGCTAAACAAAACTAAGAAACATGACTAAAATCAAACAACCACGGTGCAATGAATCGAGGGCCTGAATCCAACTCTACTTAACACTGAATCCCAGGTTGAATTCCACTTCAATCAAAATATATTAATTTCTCATTTGCTAACCCATATTGCTCATGGGAGAAGCAAATAATTCCTGACCCCCCATTTTTCATGAAAAGATACCTGGCAATGCAAAAAATACCAAGGACAAATGATCACTGATCTCACTAGTTAGATATTGTTGCTGTTGTCCATGCATGATTGGTGAATCTGTTGATGTCCTTCTAGAAATGCATCGATATTAAGAATGAGACAACTTTATAGATGTCTTTTTAGAAAACTGTGATTGTACTACATATTTTGCATATTTAAAGTACAAAAACAGAGGCCAGGCATGGTGGTGCACACCTGTAATCTCGGCACTAGGGAGGCTGAGGCAGGAGGATTGCTGCGAGTTTAGAACAGCCTGAGTTACAAAGTGAGTTCAAGGCCAGCCTGAAATGCATAGCAAAACCTTGTCTCAAAAAGACAAAAAACAAAACAAAAATATAAGTAAATATTAAAGCGTTTTACTAAAGAGTCAACCTGAAACTTAGGATGATTTAGCTACACAGCCTGAGAAGTTGTGTTCTGACCATCAGCAGTTTCTCTAAACTGGAGGGCCTACTTTTGCATAATGATGCTCACTGAAAAAATTTTTCAAGCTTGTGCCAAGCTCAGTGACCTTTAATACACAGTTCTCCCTTCTCTTCAGCTTTAGAATGTCCTCTAAATCTTCTCCCTGGGTTTTGTAAGTGCAAGCTAATGCTTTCTTAGAAGAGTATTAATGGGGCTGTGCTAGAAAATGTGTTCATAAACCTTTTGCTCTGTCATTCCATCACGTCATATTGTCACTTGACATTCAAAAGGCAAAATATGGCCAACTTATCCTGACAAGCATCCAAGGAGACAATCATCCCTTCTTCTTATTCTAATTGTCAAGTTTGGAAGCACCATCACTACATAACTTTTCTCCAGGAGTCCCTGATGCTTCACTCTTTGAGGATCACCTCTTTACTTCATGTCACACATCTTTCCTAGTGACATCAAAGAGTTTAGACACTCTCCTCATCTCCAGAGAACCTCTATTCTTTAAATTCAGGCAGGACAGGGAAACATAAGTACATTACAGCAAATGTGAAACCCTTCAATCCTGAGATACTATCATAAATCTTTGTGTTATATATATCACAGTTATTACTAGGATAGGAGGTCCTGGTATCTGGTTAGTCAGAATCCATTCTAGGATGGGGTAGCCATGCAGAGCATTCTCATCCACCTTCCTGAAACATGCTCTTTAGCTGCCCTATTTGAGCACAAATCCAGTCCGCCATGGAGGCTGCCTGCCATTTCTCTACCTGGTGCCCTCGCCAGCTGCCCTACCTCTTTCATTCAAAGATGACTGCTATGGTTGTGTCTAGATGGCCCCACCAAGCCTCGTGTAGTCATGGAGGCAGCTGAATCTAATGCTGGTGATTGGTTTGTTGTTTTGTGCTGGGATTGACAATGTGAATGCTTCACTCATCCAATGGGTAGAGCCAACATACAATGTAAGGGCAGGAAGAAGGTGTGTTTTTTCTTTTTTTACCCTTTAGTTCTTATCATTTGGGACAACCATGAACAGCTGCCCCTCAGCCATGCCATTCTGCCTTGGAGCCAGCTGAGTATGGACTGAAACCTCCAAGAACTATAAGAAATAAATCTTCTCTTGCTTCACTTTGGGCATCAAGTATTTTATCTCAACAATGAGAAAAAAATAACCTCGAGAATGACCCATGACAGATGAGCCCTTTCAGTGGTTCCCTATGGATGACAACTTAGCAGCCAGCCCTTTGGGACTGAGCTCTGTCCACATCTGCGTAAAGCATGTGTGCTGGATAACTCCCAATTATCCTTGACCCACGAACACCATTGTCCAGGGTTTAAGCTCCCACATGCAGGCAGCCCACATCCTGCAACTTGTCCATGTGTGGGCATCCAGGTCCAACTCCTTGCTTAGATCATCCCAGCTTCAAAGCTCCTGTAGAATCAACTGGCTGGGGCAAGGCCATCGCTGCTTTGGGTCCAGTTTCTCTCTCTAGTCAGTCCTGTTTCCCTTCCTTCCATTATGGAGATCATTTCTGGGCTTGTTGCTCCCTGGGAAACTGCCTCCATGCAAATCTCCATCTCAGACTCTGTTCTCCAGTGAAACCAGCTTGAAAGAGCTGGCGCTGGAGGCACCTGAGGAAGCAGACTCTGCACTGAATTTTGGAATTCCATTACCCCCTGGCAGGCTACCAGTGAGGTCCTAACCACTCCTGGAGGGGAGGGGTGGGGTAGCTCCTGGCACCTGTTATGGAGCAACAGTGGCTTTTTGTTAGTTTTGCCCAACTGGGTAACTGGGTCTTTTGCATGACAGACCAATGCTCTTCCACTGAGCTAATCCCCAGGCCCTGGAGCAGTTGGCAATAGCTTCTCCATTAGTACAAAAGGACAGAAGACCAGTAGAGAGGAAGGACTGATAGGGACAGTTCCTTAGGCACTGGAGAGGTTGAAGGAATCACATTTTTTTTTTTTTACAGTACTTGATATTTAATCCAGGCCCTCCCCAGTCCTCTTTTAATTTTTAGTTTGAGATAAAGTCTTGCTAAATTTCCCAGGCTGGACTCAAACATTCAGTCCTCCTGCCTCAGCCTCCTGGAATGCTACGATTTGCAGGCTTGTATTCCACTCCCAGCTAGGGAAAAAGAAATTATGAGAACTATGAAGCCAAATGGTGCTTAGTTAGTCCACTTCATGAGTAATATGGCGAACAAATCATTACTTTATTAAAAATGTGAAAGCTGAGGACTTTTTCAGCATACGGAGATATTCTTTCCCTATAGCAGGAGGGCAGAGAAAGATAAGAATCACACTCAAAACTTAAAAATAAGGATAGTGGAGCTCAGAAAAAGACCCAGCAATTCTTCTAGGCCAATGTCAGGGCCATGGTTAGAAAAGAGCACCAGCCTCAGAGCTAGGATGAGGAGGAGCAGTCGGGCTGCTCGGAGGTGGAAGCCTCGGATTTGCCTAATTCTCTGCGTCTGCAGCAATGGTCACTCCTCTCATCAGGGCCATCACTTCTCTCTTGCTTGATGGGTTGAGGATAATAGTGAGGCCACCACCTATTCCTCCTTTATAACCTAGTCATGGTTTCCCTTCTGGCCACCAAGTCAATGATGAGACCAAGTGACCGCATACACTGAAGGGGAAATCCTGGATCTTCTCAGAGAGGAGAGAGTTTATGAGTACAAGGAACATAACCTGGATTCCAGTCTAAGGAGAGGTTAGGCAAACTCAGATATTCTACAAAATAACTAGTCTGGACTCTAAAAAATACAGTCAATAATGATCAAGTCTGAGCAAGTCTCCTAGATTAAAAGAAACTAAAGAGATATGATAAATGGGAGGAATACAAGAAATTGGATGGGGTCCTGGTTCAGCCTGTGAAAGCCCTCTGCTAGGGTTGTATCTAGGTCTCCCCTCAAAGGCTCATGTGGTCACAGGGCTTTTTTAGAGGTGGCTGAATCTAGAGTGTGTGATGCTGGGCTAAGGGTGTAAGATTAGTAAATCAGCCCATCGATTGGTGTGGCATAGTTCTGGTTAATATTAAGAGTGTGACTGCTGCAGTTGCCCTAGGCCAGGTAGCCTGCATACAAGGAACAGAAAGAGTGCTGTCTCCTCCTTGAGCCTTGCTATCTACTGGGTGACATGAACTGTTCTTCATGGTGGCTCTCTATAAAGCCACCCTGCCTTGGAGCCAGTCAGTTATGGACTGAAATTTCTACAAACTGTAAGCCAAATAAACTTTTCCTCCTTTAACTGTGGGTGCCAGGTATTCTGTTT